GTTTTATGGCATTATTAGCTATATTTTCTATCTTTTTAGAATTAATTAGTGGAGAAGTTGAAGTAGTAGTTATACAAGCTAAATCTGAAGATTGTCAAAGAAAAGGAGGCATTTCTACTTGTAAAATGAATGCCGTAAATACCGTGACACTTTTGCCAAACGAGCAAATAAATTCGCTTTCGTTAAAAAATAATAAAGGAATAATAATGGGAGAGTTAGAGTTGTCAATGCATGGATTGCAAATCCAATGTAATCAGAAAATACTTAGATATTTGAGATCATATGAGGTAAAAGTCCAATCAATTAAAAGATGCCCAGCAGCGGGAACGTGTAAGGCTGGAAGATGTAACCACATAAGAACTAAAGATTATGTTGAAGAATTATCAGAATGGAATGATTATCCTGGTAATTCATTCTGTATTGAAGGAAAATCACTTTGGGGATATGGCTGTTCGCTGCCTGGAGCAGACTGCTATTTTTATAGAGTGTATGCCATACCAAAGTCAGATGAGATTTTTAAACTTGTGTCCTGTCCTACGTGGGATTATAGTATTGAAGTAGACATAGGACTCGTAATAAATGGAAGTATGACAAAAAAGAGATTTACTCTTAATCCAGGAATGACATTTAAATGGAAAGATATAAAATTTACTTTATTGGATATTACACCTCCAATGGCACCTGTTTTAAACAGTGAATTTATTATTGGAGAAAGAGGAATTGCAATTTCAGAAAATAGCAATTCTTATCTGGAGTGTTATGAAACGGCCGGAAATTTTTCAAAATGTGAATTAGAAATTAATGCATGTAAAGAATGCTGGTTAGAACAAGATATTGAGAAAATACGATGCGCGTGTTCGGACTTTATAATTGAAAAATTAATAAAAGATCCGCGCAAATCGTTGCCATTGGAAATAAATCGTATTAGATTAAAAAGAAAAGAAAATATGATAATCAGTGAATCTAACTATTTGCCAATCATGTTAATGATAAGATTTGAAGATTGGTCAATTTCTAGTAATACAGACATAACGTACTGTAAAATTGAACCCGAATATTTAAAAGGTTGCTATAGCTGCATGGGAGCTATTTTTAAATTTAATTGTTCCACCGAATATGGATCGGCTTACGCTGAGATAAAATGCCCCGGAGGCAATATCTTCACAGCGAAATGTAATGAAAAGGGGATTGATCAAAAGATCGCACTTTCGTTTGATCATTCGGAAATAAATGAAATTTGTAATGTCTATTGTTCGGGAGGAATTACAAATTTCACATTAAAAGGACAATTAGAATTTATTTTACCAGAAAAGGCAAAGGTTATAGTAAAAGAAGGATCATCTAAAATATTCATAGAAAATAGTGAAAATAATTGGTTGACAAATCCATTTGCAAGTTTCCAATTTCTTGATTGGAAAAACATACTCTTTGAATTGATTAGTATACAAATGATATTTATGATTATTTTATCGTTTGTGTTGATAATTATTGCGTTGAAGTTATTTTTAAAATATAATCCATTCTTTCGCGGATACAAACTCGCCGCGTCAGCGTTTGTAATTACGCTTCTGGCGGGAGGTACACATTCTTCATGTGTAGAAAGATTGAAAAATGAAAGAGATTTAATTAATCTTGAAGGAATTAATATAATAGTAAAAGCCTGTGTGGCTATGCCTGAAAAGAATAAAATACAAATTAGAGAAAAGAAAATTTATTATGAAAATTTTCGAGAGATAATTCTGAATAGTAAAAATGAGGAGGAAAGATCTCCTGTTGAAAAGACGAAAGATAATCAGATAAAGCAATTTCAGGTCATTCAGGCTATCTCACAAGACTTCCCCTCATCTCTTTCAACTACTGCGTCTGCTCCACCAATAAAAAAGACTCTACAACAAAACAGAACTTCAATTCATCAAGCAAAAGAATTATTTGTCAAAACTTCAATGCGGCACAAAAATAGAAATTATTATTTTTGTCACATTCTCAAACAAACAGCAAATAATTGTCCACTTAAAAACAATGACATTAGCTCTTCATCAAGTCAATGCAAAAACAGCATCTTCTATAAACACAAGCGCTCTTCAATCACATCACATGAACTTGCCAAGTGCCGCAAATGTACATCATTCTCAACATTGTGCAACTCTCTTCATCAAAGCAACTCTAAGAACATGGAGAGATGAGAGGATTTCTTGGCGGGAGTGTCGATGACGAGATTGAGAATTTAAAGATTTTAAATATTTTTGATATTTTTTATATTTTTTGTGGAATTTTATTTGTTTTTGTGTGGTGACTCAGTGAGTCACTTTTCCTTTTTTGACAATTTTTTATGTACTTTTTTGCAATGTACTTTACATTGCATCATTTTTATCATAGAAATTTTTGCCTATAAAAAGTAGGCAGAAATTTCACTTTTCAATGTCTTTTGAGATATTCATTTTTTATAATATTCTGTGTGAATATTTTTTGATTGAAGATAAAGATTTTTTGTTGTATTTGTGTTAAAATTATTTGTTTATTTATCTAGATTAATTATTCCGTGTGAATAATTAATCTGAGATATTTTTTCCCTATAAATTAAATAGGAAGGTAAAAAGAAAATCCTCTCTGAGGATAAGTAATTTTTACAATTGACAAACAAAGATGCGTATTTTACAAAATGTTTCATTTAAATTAAGCTTTAAATTCGAATAATTAAGATGGAGTTATGATTATAAAAGCCTAACAAATATAAAACATTTTTATTAAACAAAATTTATTTTACAGAGACAATCCCTCTTAATGAGAAACCTTACACAAAAATTCGAGAATCAATTGGAAATTGTCTTGTTAACATCCACAATGTAAAAATAAATTTAATATTTTTAGTAATTAATTAATTTAGAATTGTGGTGGTTATATTGATAATGATATTGATAAATTAAACAAAAATTTTTATGAATTTATCAACAATTCTCTTGAAAATAAACAAATATTTTACAATTTAATTAAAAATAAAAACAAAACCGAAAAGATGTATTTTGGTTGGATATTGCAAATACTTTACTATACTGTTGCTGATAAACTTGCTGAAAAGCTATTTAGTTCAAATGTTTTTGAACTAGGAAGAGTTATGGCTGAAATTCAAAAAGTTCGTTTTTGTTTAAATGCTTGACATTAGCTCGTTTCGGAACTTAAAGGGAGTGACATTAATTTCCATATTTTATTCAAATTTTCCAATATGTACATATATTTTTTAATTTAGAAAATAAAATTGGACAAAAATCGTTATAAAGATTTCAGAAAAAATCATTTAAATCGAATTATTCAAAATTTTGACAGTTCGTTAAAAAAACGAAAAGTGTATTTTTATGAAAATTATAAAAAATTAAAAGATGACTTGGAATCAAAATTGAAGAATTGCGAAATTATACATAAAGTGTCGTTATTTCCGCAACCTTATTGGTGGATACGGTCGAAAAATAATCAAGGAAACAATGACTTTATAACACCAGGAACATGTAAATTATTTAAAATTTAAATCTGCTTTAATAGTCCCTTCTTATAATATAAATAGAAAAATAGTTTGGGATTTTTATCTCAAATTAATGACAAGCCATAATAGATGTAAGAGTAATTCAGATTGTTATTGTTAAAAATCTTGACGGATCTATAAATATTAAACTAAAAATTTTAATTAAAATATTTAACTTTTTCAAATTTTTCTAGCGAAAAGACCTTCTACATCATCATCATTTCCACCAACACCACCTAATGAAGAAAATGATACTGACAAAAACTCTTTAGATAATGTTCCAACTCAGAACTGTTTAAAATCGACATTTGTTTGGCCAAATATTAAAACTGTTTTTTTGTTGGTCAATAGGAATGTAAACGATGATGAATTGAAAAAATTGAAGGAATTGTAAGATTGTTTTAATAACTTAAAATGATTAAGCTCTGTATCTAATTTTAGAACATTCAAATAATATTTTTTACTAAAGTTTCTACACAACGTTTCAAGTAAAATTTCCTTTTTAGCTATTCTGAGTTTAGAAGTAACAGATTCGATTTTTTCTGACCTTTATTGAGAAAATCTCTAAGTAGAATTCTCGAACAGACTTATTTTTGGTTTTTTTACTAGTAATCCTACGAGTATAAATTTTGGTAACCTTAATAGTCACTAATTATATAGAGATTATATGTGTATAAAAAATGACACAAATCTGTTATATAGTTGATTAAACTATATTCAAACTGTTAAGAGTTTAATTTAAATTTTTTGTTGTTTGTTAAGACATTTTTATATTATCTATAGTAACGGCACAGCACCTGTTATTCCTTGAGCTGCTTCAACCTTTATTAACTGTTACACTTTTTATCTAATAATTTTTTTATATTTTTAGGTTTAAAAAGATACCAATTTCGCATATTCTTGCAGCTCCGGAAAGTTTGAAAACTGCAACACAAATTAGCAAAAATTTGAAGACAATACGTGTCAAGTATGATCCAGGATTTGCTATGGTATATGAAATATATCCAAGTTTAATAAAATAATAGTCATTAAAAAATAAATTTAGTCTTCTTGAGGCTCTTCTTTCTGAATAAAATAACAAATGTGTAAACTGCGTTTCACAATTATAACCCACTTTAATTTTTCATATTCATAACTATGGAAAAAATATACAAAAATTCCATTATTATTGGTGAATCCTGTGAAACTTACAAATTGGTTAAACTTAGGAAATATTCTTACATTATTTAAACATATCGATTTGCCTAATTTCGATAAGTTACATTGAAAAAATTCAAAAAATTAAAGTGGGTGAAAAGCAGTTTAGTTGGAGAATCGTAATTAGTTCCAAAGTCATTCGTTCCTAATTTGCTCCGCAATACCAATAAAAGTTTACTTGGGTAAATCGGAATCGTGCTTCCAACATCTCAATAATTTTCGATTTATTTAAATATTATAACTCATATATAATCTAAACTTAAATTAAATTAATTTAGAGTGTCAAAAATGGCTATCATCTTGAAACTTGTAATTATAATAAATTTGATTGTAATTATTACAAAGATGAATTACCCAAAAATGAAGATGACAAAACTTTTACTGAACGTGTTAATAATGCATTGGAAAAAATGTTAAAAGAATGCACTTTTGAAAACGGATATGAATTTTTGGATGAAGATAAAAAAGCTTCACAATTGCCGCCATTTAAGTCTTGGAAATGGCTCAAAAATGGATCAAAAAGAATCAAAACAGTCATAAAAACATTAGCTTTGTTACCCGAAAAAGTAGCTCCCGAAGTATTTTTAGGAAAAATTGACAAAAAAATTACAAGTTTGTGTTTTAATTTTAAGTCGGACCTCCTATTTTACGTACAACCTTGGGACTGAAAAATTGTACCTAAAAACAATAAAGATTTAAAATAAATTATTGTGAAATGAAAAAAAAGCTTCTTTTTAAAGAAATTCTCATATAAATTCTCGAAAATTTTCATATTTTCGCTAAAATCTAGTATATAAATTAATATATTTATTTTTTTTCAAAATTATTTTTAAATTATTTTATATAAAACTTAAAAAATTACAGACTATTTGGTAGTTGTTGCTGAAAATGAAACAATTGGTAAAATTCATCAACGAATTACAGGACAATGGGCTGATGTTTTAAATGTAGAATAATATTTAATAAATTCTTTTAAATTTTAAAAAATTAAGGGTTCTGTTAGTAAATTTGTTGAATTTGAATCTGAGAAAAATATTGGAATTGGAAACGGAGAAATGTACAAAAAACTTCGACTTGTTAGAAGTAATGATATTAAACACTTGAAATTGGAATTAGATGATCCTTATAAAGGATTTGATCTTTTTTTCCCTAAAAAGAAATGAGAGTAAAAGTAAAGATTTTAAAAAATATGTTCTTATAGAAAATTTTTTTTCTAAAAATATTCATGAAATTCTGAATTGTAACGTCGATTATTGAAGTTACTCCAATGCAATTTTGAAAAATTCAAAATAAGTTTTGATTTTTAGAGATTGCAAATTTTTTTAAATTATTAATTTCTAAATTATCTTCATACCTTTTTATGATAAGACTGGGATTTTAATCACGAAAAAATTTAATGTAAAATAGTCGTCAAAAATAGTAACTAAAAATCCCAAATAGTCAAAAAAAAAAATAGAGAAAAACATAGTTGGAGATGAAAATAATTACTGATGAGAATAATACCAAACAATCTATAAAAAGACTAAAATAGTCTGGAATGACCATAATAAAAGTAACAAAAAACTTTTTGTTAGCATAACCATCTAAAAACATAATTTTTAACGTTTTATTTAATTCCTAACTCGCAGAGAAATTTCATTTAATTAAAAATCCCAGCCTTAGTTAATGATATATTTATGTAAATATCTTTTTTATTTCTTTTATCTACCTCTAAAATTCTTTGTTAAATATTTGACTTTTTGGTTTTCTAAATTAAAGTAACAACACTTTCATTTTAAAAATGATTTTCTTTTTTTAAATATTAGTCCATGTTTATTTTTATATTTTAAATATGTAGTGTATTAGCATAAATTAAAGCTGTATAATCAAAAATGATTTTTAAATTTATTATTATACATTTATTTACATATAAAAATATTAATTAAAATTATAATGAAAAAAGGCTTGGAAATGGCTGATGTGAGGAATTAAGTATATAAATAAAAGTAGGGAAAAGTGAAAATTTAAATTTATTTTTAATTTCTTCAAGAAAATTTGGGAAAAAATTTTTATTACAAAATAGCACAACATCTACAAATACCTCTACGGACAGGAGGAGCCTAAAAATTGTTGAAATAATTTAAAATTGATATAAAAAACTTTTTCGAATACCTGTGGTGGTGGAGTGGCTGGAGCAAAATAAGCATGTACCTCCACATCTGGTCGGCTTTGCTGAATAATTTTTAAATAGGTATTTTTTTATTATTCTTTAAAAATTGTTTAACGTTTAAAATTATTTGGGAAAATTTAAAAATTTTTTGATATAAATTATGAAATTAAGTAAATCTGTAATATAATGACGATAAAGGGATGGAATCAGAATTAAATTATCGTAAAATAGGTTACAAAAATTTTTTAAATTGTTTAAAAATTGTTGGAGATCAAAATCGAAATTATCTATTTACCAATATTGTGATAATAGTTTTTAAATAATTGTTTAAAAATACAATTGTTTCTTTCCATTTTTTACCTTAAACTTTTTTATTGCATCTTTAGTAATCATTTGACAATCATATAAATCAATTCTCTCCAATACTTGTAACATTTTCATAGATTCAAGAGTATTATCTGTTATATTTGGACAATTATCTAATTCCAAAACTTGTATTCTGTCTTTATGGGAAGCTAAAAACAAAACATTTTTTAATTAAAAGAAACAAGTGACCACAAAGCTCAGCCAAACCAATATCAGTTAAATTTTCACAATGAGAAAGTGAAAGACTTAATAAATTTGGACATCCATTATTTAAATTAGAAATTGTAATATCTTTTTTTTAAAAAATATTTTAATTAAAATTCCTATCTTTATTTACCAGTTATTAATAAACATTCTTCGAGATCCATTCTCTCCAGTTCGTGACAATTTTTAGAAAGTTGGATAAAGCCTGCATCTGTTAGATTAATACACCCAGCCAATTCAATATCCCTTTTTAAATAAATTTATATATTATTTAAATATCCTCTACTGTTTAATTACAAAAGGAATCATTTAGTATAATTTTTGAGTATATTCAAGATAGGGTAACCTAAAAGCCTTTCAGAAAATTAAAAATTTACTTTAATCGAGGGCATCCCTGAGATATTGCAACAAGAGAAAGGTCAGTAATTTCTTTGCAATTAGATAATGAAAGAAATTCTAAACGAGGACAATGCCTAGCAATATCATTAATTGTTTCATCCAATACATTCTAAAAAATAATTTTATAAATTAATTTTTAAAAATAATTGTTTTACAGGGCAAGAATGCAGACTTAATCTCCTCAATTCTGCCATTTCTAAATTTGCAAAACAATTTGAGGTTATCTTTAAAAAATAATTAAATATTTTTTAAAAGAAAATAACAAACATTTTCTAATCCTTTACAAAAAAGTGTTTTCAAATTAATACAATTTTTGGCAATATAAAATAGCCCCAAATCTGTTATTTGTTCACACCAACTAATATTAAGTTCTTCCAAACGTTTACAACCCTCACTAAAAGTAATGACATTTTTAAATTAAATTTTGAATATTTTAAATAAAAGATTTTATTTTAAATTTAAAAATAAAAATGTTTAATTTTCTTCCCAATAATATTTGAAATTTGAGTAAAAATTGGAAAAGTGGGGCGAGGACCGCGATGAGAGACTAATAGTGTTTAATCCAAAAAGTTTTTAAAACAAGAAAAATAACTGAAGGTTTTTTTCTTCCTTTTGAATTATAAGCAATTCTCAATTCAATTAATACCTTATAAATTTAATAGCAACATCAGTCACTAAAGTACAATTTTCCAAATCAACCATAACAATTTTACAACAATACCTCCCAATATATTCACAAGTACTTTAATTTAATATTTAATTTACAATTAAATATTATTTACCCGTCAGTAATTAATTTACATTTAGTTAAAGTTAATCTTTCAATATTTGGACATTTTGTGGCAAAAGACCTCATTGCATTATCTTGCACATTTTCACACCCTTTTAGTGAAAGAACTTTGAGAAAATTGCCACAACGTTTTGCTAAACTTTCAACGACTGCCGTCTAAATTAAATTCTGATTTTTAAATTCTAAATATTTTTTTCTCAAATTTACTTTAACTTCTCGTTGAAATAAAAATAAATCAACATCCATCCAATTACTTCCATCCATTGATAATTTATTCCAACTTCTACAAACTTGTGCACATCGACAAAGTGAAGTAATATCCAAATAGGAGAAAACCCTTTAAAAACCATAAATTTATTTGAAGAAATAATTATTATTTTTTAAATAAATTCTTTCAAAAGTATTTAATCCCAAACGGCTTAATATTTAATAACGAGCTAGATCAAACAATACTAGGGAGGAATTTGAAAAGTTTAATTATAGCCTGTGGTAGAGGTTTATCTATCTACATATGTCTCTATTTTTTACCGTAAAATAAGTTCAGTGGGAAGCATTCGATTAATAAGAGCTGTGGGAACATGTTGGTGGTTGTGTTTCTGTTGTTGTAGAAAGTTTGAAGTATGCCCGTTTTGCTGTTGAGAAGTTCCAGGAAGCATTGTTGTTATCAAATACATCTTAATATTTAAATAAATAATTATAAAAATATCTAATTAATAAAAATTAAATTTTTATTAAAAATTAATTTCTATCATTTTAGTCAAAAAGTCAAAATAAAAATTAATTTAAAAATTAAATTATTTAAATGAAATTATTTTAAAAAATCAATTAAATTAGTAATGATGAAAATTAAATGAAATATATTTATGTATATTATGACTGTTCTCTAACAAATTAACAACTTCTAAAAATTTTCTTTTGGCATTTGTTTAAAAAAGTTGGAAAACTCAATCTACATTAAAATTTAATTGAAGTTATGAAATAAATAGAGACAAATAATATGAAAATACAATTATATACATTAATTGAAAGATATAATAGATATAATTAACATTACCGCGCGTTTTCGACTTTTATTTGATATATGAGCATTCCCCTTCCTATTTTTGCTCATAATTCTTCTCAATTTGTAAATAGTTCTTTTGGGCCAAATAATTGTGGATTGTGTTGCTGTAGCCTCTGGATTTTCTAATCGCCAATCCCACAGAATTCCATCGTGACGAACTGAACAATCAAAATGAACTAATGGATCCATTCTATAAAGAGCACGTAATACAATAGCTTTGCTCTTTTTATTTGAATATTCCTCCGAATTTTTTGAATTGTTAATAAATGTAGGTGGACATTCGAAGAAAATTTTATTTTTAAAAAGAGTCAACATTTGATTTTTAAAGAATTTTCTTAATTATATAATTAAAAATTAGAATAAAGAAAAGTTAATTAATAAAAGAAAAAAATAGAAGGGCAGTAGTTTTTAATTGAAAGTTTATAAGAGGAAAGTAATTGTTATTGGTAATGGGGTGTCTCCTTTCAGGAAGTCGAAGAACGTTATAGAATTGAAAAACGTGTAGAATTGTCTAATATTTATTAAATTTAAAAAAGGGATAACCAAAAAATATCAGATACCTCAATAACAAAAATTTAGATTTTATTTAGCAATTAAAGAATAAAAAAAGATGCTAAAAAATCTTTTAAGAAAAAGATGTACTCTTTATATAATGCTTCATTGTTAGCAGTACATTCTTGATTCCGCATGAGTGATGAGCCACGCACAAATAATAAATATATACCTATTTTATTTTAATTCGCCTCGAAGCGCTCAGTCAACCAAACAAAATTTTAGGAAGAAAAAATAATTCGCTAAAAAAGCAAAATGGAAAGAGGATGAGAAAAGTAATGGCCGAGTAAATATTTGCAATTTGGATTGTTTTTTTGGAAAAATAGTCAGTAAATTGCCAGATTTTTCTTTAATTTGGCTATTAAATTACTTTAACCAAGAAAATTGCTAAAAAATTTTGAAAAAATTGTAGCAGAAAAATAAAGGGTATGTCAGATGGAGACCAAAAAATGATGAAATAAAGTAAATTCTCAAGTCTTGTTTGCTAAAATTAAATTCTGGATTAGTATTCCAGAGGATTATTGAAAGTCAGCACTTCCGAAATACTATATTCTTGAGTAAGGGTCCAGCACCACAACTTGTCTCACTTATAATAGAGCGGTAACTTAAAATGAGGTAGATGAATAAAAATATATGTATGGCACAACAGGACACAAAAACAAATAAAAACGGTCATAAAGAAGACCCCTGACATATTTTTTCTCTTTTCCATCAAAAATCTAACGGTTCTTGGTCAATTGCTAGATATTTTGTTAGATTCGGAAAACTTGTTCTTCGCCTTTTTAGGAAAGAAAAATAGTAAGAGGTAGACTACAAATGTTCGTACCTCTCAACTACATAATATTTATTACAAAAATATTTGTTTGCCTTTAATGTATACATCTGTCGCCTTATAGTAATATCTAACAAAGTATTGACAATTTTTGAATATATGTACATTAATGGACTTATTTGTTAACAAAAAGCATTTCTCGCTAAAAGCAAATCCTCAACATCGTTAAATTTGATGATTTTCACACGTCTATTAGGCTTTACGCAACAGTGGGATTAAGGTATTTTAAAATCCAAAATAAATTATATATGAAATATTTTAAAAGATATAAATTAATTGCTTGTCTCACTTATAATAGAGCGGTAACTTAAAATGAGGTAGATGAATAAAAATATATGTATGGCACAACAGGACACAAAAACAAATAAAAACGGTCATAAAGAAGACCCCTGACATATTTTTTCTCTTTTCCATCAAAAATCTAACGGTTCTTGGTCAATTGCTAGATATTTTGTTAGATTCGGAAAACTTGTTCTTCGCCTTTTTAGGAAAGAAAAATAGTAAGAGGTAGACTACAAATGTTCGTACCTCTCAACTACATAATATTTATTACAAAAATATTTGTTTGCCTTTAATGTATACATCTGTCGCCTTATAGTAATATCTAACAAAGTATTGACAATTTTTGAATATATGTACATTAATGGACTTATTTGTTAACAAAAAGCATTTCTCGCTAAAAGCAAATCCTCAACATCGTTAAATTTGATGATTTTCACACGTCTATTAGGCTTTACGCAACAGTGGGATTAAGGTATTTTAAAATCCAAAATAAATTATATATGAAATATTTTAAAAGATATAAATTAATTGCTAAAGATAGTAATTCTATAAAATAAATTTTAAAATGTAAGGAAGTTAAGAATTTTATAAAAAAGATTATCGTAGAAATTAAATAACTTCCTTAAGCCGAAAAATATTATTACAATAAAAAATTTCAGCTTTAGAAAAAATTCGAAAAATATTGAAATTTTTCTAAAAAATGGGTCTTAAGGTCAAGAAAAAGGGGTTTCTGAAAAATGGGTTTCCAAATCCAGACAAGAAAATTTGGAAAAATTAATATATACTAACTTAAAAATAAAAAAAAGGATTGGGAAAGAACTCTGTGACCCGAATTTTAAATAATAAAAAAGCTTCAAATAAAAAGGATGGAAGAATCAACAATGAATGCGCGAAGGACAATTATAGAGAAGAGAGAGAAGGACAGATGGATAGAAAATGAGTGGAAATAAAAATAAAAATGGTATTAAAAAGATTTTTAAAAACATTTTTGGTATAAAAACACAGTTTGTGAATAAAATAAAAATTTAAAAATTATTGCCTTGACCTAAAGAAAATTATTGAAAAATTGTGTTTGTAAATAAATAAATATTTTTTGTTTAAAATGAAATGAGCGTTGTACATATTACATACTTAGACAATTAAAAGAAACAGATGGAGTTTAAAGAAAATTTTTGAAATATCTAAAATATCGCGCATAAAAAAGCTGAGAATTTTTAAATTAAATTAGAAAAAGAAAGAAATTTTCAGACACAAAAATGGCAGATGTCTTGTTGATTTAAAAAGCTTAATTGAAGGTTAAAGACAATAAATTTGTTTAATAAATTTAAAATTTAAGCGTGAATTATAAAAGAAAACAAAATTAAAAAAACAGTTAATGGAAAATTTAAAAAAATGGAAAATTTATAATGAAAATTATATGTACATCAATATTAAAAGACGGTTTATTTAAAAAATATTCTTAAAAACAATCTTTTAACTAGAAAAACCTTTCGAAATGTCTGAAACATTTCAAAAACTTGCATTAATTTTTAATAATAATTAAAGAAAAAAGCAGTTTTTATCCTCTTTATGAGGTAAAACATATATGAGGGAAAATGATGGAAAGGACCAGTTCTAAAGAAAATATAAAGGACCGGTTGGCAAAATTGTTTTAATGTCCTCAATATAATAATAATGTGATGGAAAAACTTTTTATAATAAGGTACATAGAAAGAAAAGATGCAAAGAAAGATAACAAAAGTATAAATGTAATTAAATAATTTAAAAAATAATTTTTGGCAATATTTTAATAATTTAAAATTGTCATCCATTTTTGAAGAGAAATAATGTAACTTTAAATAAATTATTGGAGGAGTTAAGAAGTTAATCAAGAAATAAAAAATGTCAAGCAGAGGTACGAAAGAATTAGATATAAATTTAAAAATTTAAAAATAGGTATATTCTATTGATGGAAAATACTTTATATAATTTTGTAATTATTTAAAGAATTTTGCTTTAAAAAATAAATAACGAAACAAATATGTATGACGTATTTTAGAAAATAAATATTAATAAAAAATATTTTTACAAGCTAACCTTTAAAAATATTTTTTTCTTTAGTATTTAATAATTAGCTGTATTGTTATATGTTGTTAATTTTCTAATTTGAAGGTTTTAAAAGTGAAATAAATGCAAACTTTTAAAATTTATTAGAAAAAGGTAAATATTTCTTTAATTTAATATTTCCTTAATATTTCCTTAATTAAATATTCCCTTCCATAAGAAAATACTATTCCTTATAATTCCTCTCCAAAAAATATTCCTTATAAAATTTAGAAGGAACAGTTTAAAAAACGACTGAAAATTGAATGGACGATTATTTTCATAGATAAAATAATTTAAAAAATAATATTTAAAAAATATAGAACTGATGTGAGTAATTTAATATTATTTTTAGAATCTAAAAAAATTTTGAATGGAAGGAAAAATATTTTGCAAAAAAAAAATAAAAATATATGTCGATCAGAAATAAAATAAATTGACTGTTACTTGGGCGGTAAATGTGTCTTTGATGAGGGAAGGAGGGGAGGGAAGTTTAAAAAAGAAGGAAAAAATAAAAATGGCAAGAGATGGATGAGGATGACCATTTGATAGATTAGTTTTGAAAATGATGAGTTAAGGATTGAAAAAAAGGTTAAAAATTAGAAAAAATTTTTAATGGAAAAGCTGAAAAAATTTAAGAGTAGAAATATAAAGTACCTATCTTAAATAAGTTTTAATGTTAGCAGAAAATAAAGAAAAGATAAATTAAAAAAAAACAACGAAGTAATAATTTTAATTTCATTGAATTTCAAAAATTATAATTATCTAACAATTCAAAAAGTATTTTATTGAAACAAAAATTTTGATTTAAATTAAAATAAAGTCAGAATAAATTCAGATTTTTAAATGTCATTTAAAAAATTAAATTTAAATCGCAATTTTAAAGAATTTGATTGAAAATTAGATTTTCTTTTATTAATTATTAGCCTTAATTTATCGACAAACTTCTTATTTAAAAAATAATTAATTTCTATTAATTTTATTTTTTTCCAATCGCTAAATTTAGTCAATCTTTTGTGTTTTAAATTTTGTGTTCTATTTAGTTAAATTGCGGTAAAAATTCTGTAAAAAACAGCCAAAAAAAGAAATATTTATTCAAATAAATATTTAATATTTTCGCGCAAATTTTTTATGAGAATTTGACCCGAATTTGTAGGTTACTAAATATATCTAGTCATATATTACAAAAAATATATGCACATTTAATTTTTACAAAATTTTGTTTTAAAAATTAATTTAAAATATAAAAAAAATAAAGTAATTTAAATGTATGTAATCTAATTATTAAATTAATTTTTTTTTATTTTTAAAATTTAAATAATAGCTAATATGTTTTTCTTTAAGCATATTTTTTCAAAAATTTTATAATTTAATTAATATAACTTTAATTTTTTAAAAATATTTTTACCTGATTCTGTTTGGCTTGTACTCTTTTTGCACTAGGTATAACAACAGGACCAGAAAATCCTTTCATATCCAAAAGCACATCCCCGATACCACCACTCATCTTATAATAAATTAAAAGTACATAATTAAATTTTTTTAGAATTAAATTGCCAAATTAATAATTAGAAAACCAGAAAAGCCACTCAAAATTTAAAAAATATTTTATCAGAAATGTTTTGTAAATTATCGAAAAAAGAGGAGAGGAGCTATGGCAACAATTACTAATTGCTTTCTTTCAAAAATAATTTTTGACAATTTATTAAAAATATTATTTTGATCATTTCTAATTTGTTATTTTAGTAATCAACCACACACAGAAATGATAATAATTTTCCCAGAGAGAGCTGTTTATTATCAACAAATATTACAAAAAACAATCCCGTTAAAAATATCTAATATTTGTAAATAAAACTTTCGCACCAACCGGTGCCACTGAAGTGCTTTGACGTCCATTGCCTCCACTTCCACCACCATCATTTCCCACCAGGCGCATTTCACTGGCTTTTTGCCGTCGTTTTTTGCTGTTGGACCCTTCTGATAGCGGTGAAGAATGATAAGATGAAAAGAGTAAAGAGGAAGAAGCAATGGATTGGGAAGAAGAAGGAAAAAGGGCGGTAGAGGTGGTTGTTGTTGTTGTTGGTAGCAGTAACTGTTGAGAAGCTGCCGACGTTGTCGTAGCTGTCAATGAGTACGGGGAAAGAGAAGGTCGCTGAAAAAAAGGCCCGACTGTCAATAAGAGAGAAAAAATCAATGTATTTTAATAAAAAAAGAAAAAAAGGGAGAAAATTTGTTTTTTTTCGTTAGATAAGAGGAGAAAAGGTGAAGAGAAGGAGAGGAGGAAATGAGGGCTGGAAATTACGAGGAGGTATATTTATGTGAATAACAAAAAAAACTAAAAAAAAGTAATATTTTAGTACTTTAAGTATTTGTAGATAAACAATTAAAAATAATTTGGATTTATTTATTTGTTGGCTTCACTGGAAGTTTTTTTAAAATAAATATTTTTGTTTATTTTAGTTTATTTACTATTTACTAAAAATTATATAATAGTTATGTAAAAACAGTAATTAACAAAGAATTATTTATAATTTTAAAGGACCAAATTTGGATTTAAAATTTCTTTAAATTTTCGTTGGATGAAGGAGGGGGGAGCAATAAATTATCATTTAATATTTTTATCTTTTCCTTTATTTTGTGTATTAATAAAGACAAATATAGGTTCTCAAAATTTGATTATCCGAATCCCCATTAGTATACAACAGAGGGCATTTTGTTAAATAGATAAGTATACTCCAAATATTTTAAGCCCACCTTTTTACCCTTTTTAGTCTGTGTCCCTTCCTCAAAAGCTACTTCAGCGCCTTTTCTTTGTTTTGTTGAAATTAAGCTTTTACGTAAATTAGTAGATGATAAAGCAATATTTCCAAAATCTTCTTCATTTAAAATAATATTTTCATTTTTTAGTAAAGCAATCTTTTCTTCATTCCTCTTTTCTATATTTTCTTCAATTTCAATGTCAGTATCACAAAATACAGGATTGAGAATAAAATGTTCATTTTCTGACTTAAATTAGGTAATTATTAAGGAAAGAGTTTTTATCCCTTCAAAACCTGCATTCTCAAAATTTACCTGATTTTTAATCAATTCATTGTTTATTCCTTTACTTTCTGTTGATTCGTTCAAAAATGTATCATAATTAATGGTAGTACACGGTGAATAATCAACACAACTTTTATCATCCAAAGAATCTTCTGCTGTCTTAAAAAGAATTTATTATAGTAAACATTTTAATTTAAGAAATTAAGAGGGAAATAAACATTTAAATTTAAACAACTAATTAAATTCGAAGAGCTTTGTTTAAATTTTCTGGAGATACACTAATATCCAAATACCGAGTTTTCTGATTATTTATTGACGTAATTTAACCTTTTTAATGTTAGCAAAAACATCAATTTTCCTTCGTTGTTGGGATTGATTCTCTATAAATTAAAAAAATTATTTTTATAATTATTTTGTTGATAAACCTTGCTTGTCAGGTCTACATAAAAGTGTAGCAGATCCATAGGATTCGCTTAAACTTGGAGTAGAAGTAGCTGGTTGTAATGAAAGTCTCTCATTGACTAAATAAATATATTGAAAAAAAAGACAAACAAATTTTTATTTATAATTTGCCTTTATCGACAGAAGCTGCCCTCAATGTTAAGCTTCGCCTTCGTCCGAGTTTTTGCTCACAACGAATTCCAATTTCGTCATCTTTTTCATCGAAAGTATCATCAAGTAGTAATGCTTTGGACATTTGAAGGGAAAATATATTTAATTTTTAATTTTAAGAATTTCAAAATTAAAGTAGGGGAATTCTTATTTAAATAAAATAAAAATAATTTAAAAAATAATTAGTAGATATCAGTAATATTTAATTAAAAATTGTTATAGTGAAATCAGAATATTATTTTTATTAATATTTCAATTAATTACACTAAAAGTATTGAATAAAGAAATTAGATGGACCCTTTAATATAATGAGTTAAAAATATTTTGGGCTGACATTGATACGAAGGTTAAAGTGATAAAGTTTTTTGTTGTATATAAATGCGTTTTTGTTGATTAAATACCTATAATGTTTTTTATTAAACATCAAAATAACCCTCATAATTCTCCATTTAAGTAAAACTTAAAATATTTAGATGGTTTAGGAATTTAAAAATAAAATTTAATGAAACTATTATTCATAAAATATTCCACGTTGAATGTTGTTGGAATTACAAAAATAAATATATTTAGTAAAAATATGTACAGGGTGCGGCAAATTAGCGCCGCGATTTGTTTTTCCTATAACTTTCTTCAAACTCAACATAACTCGATAATTCTTTTTTTATTCGATTCCCAACACTCTAAGAAAATTTTTGACACCAATCAATAGAAATTTGATTCAAATTTAGTAAAGATATACCCGTCCGAACATTTAAACACGTCAAAAAATTTTTTTATGACAAAGTTTGCTTTGTCATAACCTTGCTCAATGTCGACCAATCTTATTAATTTTGGTACCAATCGACTCGTCTCGACAAGTAGCATCGAAATAGCCCATAATTACATTTTTGAAAATTCTACGTGAAAAATTGAAATTTAGCATCTATATCATAATTTGTCATTCAATAAGCTATATCTCAGCTCAAGATCAACGAAATCGCCTTTTTAAGACGTCATTCGAATCAGCTAAAAGAGCTTATTCGAACGAAATAAACCTTTTCCATATCAGACACACGACTTTTAATTCAGACGACTTTTGGTCCAAAAAAATGCTGTCTGAACTTTAGGGAAAAATACACAAATTAATTTATAAAATGTAGGGAATATTTTTGTATCAAAAATTTTCTTAGAGTGTTGGGAATCGAATAAAAAAAGAATTATCGAGTTTTGTTGAGTTTGAAGAAAGTTATAGGAAAAACAAATCGCGGCGCTAATTTGCCGCACCCTGTATAATGATTCAAAAAATAATTTAAAATAAAATACAAAATAAATTATTAATTAATTTTTGGAAAATAAAAAGAATTCCTTTAATTAAAATTTTAGATATATGTATTTTTAATAAAAAAAAACAAAATAAAAAATAATTTTATTTTGGGATATCAGCTGATTCTGTTTAATATATTTTAGCTTTTTATACATAAAAAAACAGTCGCAAGCATACATACATGTTTAGAATAAACAAGAGTATGGGGGAGCAGATGGCTGAAATACATATAAAATAGGCGAGAGCCTAGGCCTTTGTGTAAATGTTAGAGAATTGAAGAGAATAAAAATGGTTGAAATATTGATGTGTTTGAAGAAAAATTGAGGAATTGGGTGAGAGTTTACTAACAAAAATTTCGGAATTTCAGAAAACTGAATTCTTGAAAAATTTTGTTTTGTATATAAAATAGAATTTCAAGTATGTATAACTCAGCATAGAATGTTAAGGGTGAAGGGAGTATGATAGTGGTTATTAATTTTTTAATTAAAGGAAATAATTTACGTTATAGTAAAACCCATTCCAGGAGAATTATCACATTTTGAAGGAAAAGCTTCAGACTTTCAGACGGATTACCAAACAAGTTTAAATGTTATAGAGCTATTATCTCCTTGCATTGGAGTTTATTTTATTTTTAGAAAATTGTTTTTGTCTACATACTTTCTGCATTTTACGAAAATCTATGAGGGCAAAAAAGTGAAAAATAAATAAGAATGGATGTAACTATTAAAAAAGAAAGTTGACTACCCTGCGGGCGACAAAACTGCTGTCAGAGGAGTCTTCTGAATGACGAGAAAAAAATGAGAAGTAAAAAAGGAAGAGTCCGACCGTGATAGGACCGCATGCCTGTCACAATGTTCCTCCTCTCTTTTTTGGTTGACATTACGCTGCAAAAATAATATTAAAAGAAATAACTATTTATTTATTAAAATCAATCTTAAAATTAGAAAATATTTAAAATAAAAAATAGCGAAAGAGAAGGAAAACAATTGATAAAAATGATAAAATTAAGAAAAACGTTCTTTAGTAATCTTTTCTCGAGTAAACATGTCAATATCAATGGTACATAACATTCAATTAAAAATTGTTATCATAAAATTTTGGCAACATATGAAAAACAAACGAAGTACATGATGACTGGAAATAAAAGGAGCGTTGAAAAGTCAATGAAAAATACCTAAACGAGTTACTGAAAATCTGAGGGGTTAAGAACGAAAATATTCAGGGAAATATGCATTTAATATATATATATATATTAGAGATTGCGCGACGTAAAATTCTTGATTTTCAAGAATTTAAAATTTTTGTTATTTTTTTGGCTTGGGTTGAAGTTCACATACATGAAGAGGAGAATTTACGATTCAGGTATGGTAATATAAAATTGAATATTTTTTTAATTTGGATGCTCTTACAATTGCCCTTTAAATCAAAAATATATTTTAATTATTTTGTCAAAAATCCCTCTTGAGAATGTCAAAAAAGTACATCTATTGATGAAATCTGGTATTTCAATGAAAAATACTTCAAAAATAACTTTTATTTTTTAAATCGGATTTTTAAAAATAAAAAGTCTGAGAAGCATTTTTTCTCATAAACAAGGAAATAAACATACATATTTAAGAAATAATAGGCTGGACATTTACCGAAATAATATATAAAAATTTTAAATTTTTTAACAAATATTTTTTAGTAAAAGTTATTGTGATTTATTGTATAAATAAAATTAATCTTTTATTTAAATATAATTTGGAAATCTTCTTCTGGAAAATTTAATTTTTGAAAATATTTAACAGAAATAGTATGTTTTCAGTATTTTTTGAACATTAATTACAATAAAAATTTACCATAAAATAATTAAATACTTATATTTAGCTAATATGTAATATATTTTCAAACATTTTTATGTCTTTTATTAATTTCAATAGTTCCTTAAAAACTTTAAACAACATAAATAAATATTAAAAAATATTAAAAGTGCATATTATTTTGCAATATATTTTTTTATTAAATCATGTTAATTAAAGTTTTCCCGACAATTTAAAATAATTATTACATAATATGTAATGTCTGTCTGTCGCCCTTTCATATCCGGCAAATAATTTGATTATTTATTAGCTAAAAAATACTTTTATTTATTTATTCTTAATTAGCCTTTTATTTAAAAAAATTAATTTAAAATGAATTCTTCGTTTGCGATTTTTGTCCTTCAGATTCTTTTTGGTTAGAATTTAACAATTTTCTTTAAAGAATTTATACCTAAATAATTTTAAGTGATAACAAACAAAGTTTGTACACAAATAACTTTAAATGGAATTGCTGCATTGGCTCATTGTCAGGAAAAATTAATTCTTGAAGGAACATCTTACAAAGAGAATGGTGTATATTTAATATTTTAAACTTAACCAGAAACTAAATAAAAAGTTTGTCCGGGATTGAGCTTTCTAATACAAAATAATTTCTATTTTATGAATCTTCACCCTCTCACCTCCCAAAGATTAGTTGTTTTCCTATTTTTGTTTTATTGTTAGAAGAAAGTTCACCATTCTAGTTTTGTATAATTTTTAAAAACTTAATGTTTAATTTATTTTAGCAATATCTGATTGTCTGAAGATTTTCAATGAGGTATATATTACCTAAATTAATTATACCTTGATAAACATTGTATGTTTATACATATATAAAAATTTAAATTTTGTGATATATAAAATTTATTAGCAGTTTCACCGTAATAAAAATAAAACAAAAAATTGTAACATAAAATTAGACAAGTCTAAACATTTACATAATATTTTATCTTTCCAGGCCAAATATCTCCAAAAAGATATTGAATTAATTGAGAATATACATAAAATTATTGATGAATTAAGTAATAAAGAATTTACAAAGAAAAAAATTACAGTTTATAACCGGGTTTTAAAAACACTTAACTTCCTGGTTGGGCATTTATTTTTGGAAAAGTTTTTAAAATGGAGCGGTGATCGAGAAAGAATTTTCGTTTTCACAAGTCTAAGTGTAAGTAAATTTTAGAAAGTTCTTATTAGTACCAATTAACATAGTAAAGCTGAAAACTGATCTTGGACTGATATCAATTCTATCAATTTTTGTCACTATTTTTTGGAGATAACTCAATTTTCCCTTTAATTATTGACTGGGCTTCAACGTCTTACAATATTTTTTTCCTAAAATTATATCTAAAATTAATTTTAGGGCTGTAAAATTGATGTTAAAAGATATAAATCTTTCCGAAATTATTTAAAAGAAGCGACGGAGAATTTGGATAATTTACTTTATTTAAAATTCGAAAAAAATTATGATAAATTTAAAGAAATAAAATTAAGTATTGAAGATAAAATTAAACATTATAATTTAATAATGGGACGTCTAAATGATGAATATAATTTTTGGTGGATTAAACCTAATAGTAGAAGAGAATGTTTATCTACAACACAATCAAGACAATGTAAAAATATATTTCTAGATTTTATTTCAATAAATATTTTATTTAGCAACAACAAATGATCCCCACCTTTTTAAAAGTAATTCAGGCAGAGAAAGAGAAAAATCAGATTCATTTCGGACCAGTCCAAGGGCATCATCTTCTCGTTATGAAAGATATTCTTCAGCATCACAATTCTCAAAAACTTTTGAAAACAACCCTTTTACATATATAAACAGTTCAAAAGTATTTAATGGTGAAACACCTACTAGATTATCTTTTGAAGAAAATAAAGACCAACAAACAAAAGAAAATACGGAATTTGTAAATAATTTAGAAACGAGGACATGGCCCCCTAAAGTAATTAAAGTACTTTATTTAATTAGTGGAGAATTGAGAGAAGAGAAAAAAGGTCAAAGAAATTCTCAAAAAATTCAAATCAAATCAACAACTGAGAATGAAAGGAAAAAACAAATAGAGAAAATAAACAAATAGTGAGTTTTTGTGACATTTAATACAACTTTACTATACCTTGCTATTAGTAGAACGATTGTAAAAGGATATACTTTTTTTATAAATCCATTTCTATGTATAACGCGTCATTCAGTTATACTGGATCTGGTTTTGGTTTATAACGAAACCGCAAATATGTAGAAGTTCAGATTAATCGAAAACCATAGGTGCCGATTGATAACAAGTCAACTGCCCTTAACTATGGTATATCCTTCTATAGTTCCATTCAGAGTCCCATTTGAAATTATTCTTTAAATTTAAGTTTTCGCTCCGTTCCCATAACTCATCTTTTCTCGTCACCAGAAGACCAAAATATTAAAGTTGGACTTAGTTTAACCTTTCCAAAATATTTGCAAATTAATTATGAACCTGGACTTTATAAGGTATTATTAATTATATTAGAAATTTAAAAATATAAATTTAATTTAAGTTTCTCGGAGGTAATGAACCATTATTTCCTCAATGTGAAGAACTTAAAAAAGCCAATAAAGGACGAATTAATTGTGATTATTTTAATGAAAGGGAAAAGTCGGAAAATGAATGTAGCAAGATTCTAAATCCAAAAAAGGTAATTTTTAATTACAAATGCTCACTTTAATTTAAAATTTTATTTTTTAAAACTGATTAAATTAATAAATTTTTAACAGGAAAAATCTCCAAATAATTTTAATGAAAGAATTGACAAAGTTCTTAATTGTGTTTTGAAATATTGTGCAGAAAATAGCAAAATTAAATCAAAACCAGGAGTATTTGAAAAATTTTATAAACAATTCAAAAAAGGAGTAGGATCAGTATTTGGCTCTGAAGATACTAAATGGTGGGTTGGAGAAGAAGAAGCAGGTGAGAATTATTTTTAAAAAAATATGTATTTCAAAAAATTTTTTTGTCTTTAAAAATATATTTTTTATATAATTATTTTATTATTTTTAAAATAATTCTCGTATAATTAAATAATAATTTTTTAAATATTTTATTTAGAGCACATTGTAATTGTTACAAACAATGAAGTAATTGGTGCTATTCATGAAAAAATAACAGGGAAATTAATGGATGTTGAATCAGTAAATTAATTAATTAAAAATATTTTAATTAATTTTAATTTAAAGGCTTCAATAACTAAATTCATTGAATTCGAAACAAATCAAGCAAGCTCTTCTGGGTCCTCCTACAAACGATTTAGAATTATTCAGGAGAGTGATATAAAGCATTTGGGCTTATATGAGAACCTGAACAATTCAAATAACCGAATATGGTGAATAAAAAGAAAAATAATAATTAAATTTAATTCGCATTTTAGACGAATTGTTAATAAATTTAATAAATTTTTATGATTTTTGAAATTATTAATTTAAATAAAAAATGTTAGATATTATTTTTCCTACAACTTTATTAAAACAATATTGTCTTTTAATTCTATTTTTTTATAATTTTATTAAATTAAAAAATTGATATTTTTATTTAATTATTTATTTAAAATACATTTTCCATCTTTATTTCCTTTCTTATTCGCGACAAACTTTCAACCTATCATATGATAACTTGGGAAAATAAAAGAAAGATTGGTAGTGGTTTCAATTTAATCTAATTCCTGAATTTTTTCATTGGTTATTCTAAAAATGTGTGAACAAGCATTCGTGTGTAAATAGGTAAAAATACTTAAAAACCCACAAGTTGGACATTTAATAGCCATAGCCGCATAATTTTTGGACATGGTCTCTGCCAATATAATTATTGTTTTAATCTATTTTTTACTCATAGAACATTTTTGGTTTTAATTTCATATTAGGAAATCTTTTGCTTATCAATTTAAGATTCACGAAACAATGTCAAAATTTTATGACTTTTTTGTATTTAATATTTAGAGTTATTAAATTCACTACAAATTTAAAAATAAGCTTTACACTAAAATGTTTGAAAAAAATAAATACGATTTAAATTTAAAAAAATTTTTTTAAATAAAATTTATAAATTTTCTTTTTTCTTTTTATTTTGAGAATTAATATTGTTCTTTTTCATTGGCATAACAATATTTGCTCGATGACAATGTTCTCCTCGGTAATAAATATGCATAGGGCCTTCATCTCTAAGCTTTAAATATTAAAAAATATTTTATTATTTTTTTTTCTCAGTAAAAATACCTGTGAATCCAAAAATTTGCACAAAAGCATAAATTTACAAAAACGTCTTTTATTTCTTGTTTTAGTGCAAGCATAACGAATTCCATGAATTAAAGTTCTATTTCTAGCTACTCCATTAATACATCTCAAAGTTTCTAATTCTGCATTATTGTTAACTTCTTTTAAAAATATCCAATTTGAAGAGGAATAATTCCTTTCTCCAATATTTTTTGTTAAAGACAAATTACTGCTATCTTCTGTTAATCTACTAATACTTTCAGGAATATTTTGAATTGTTTGTGATGTTTCTTGTGAAGGAGAACTTTAATTGAAATTAAATAAATATTTAAAAAATATATAAAAATATTAATAAATAATATTTGAACAAATTAATTGAAAAACTAAAATTATTTTTTAAAAAATAATTAAGGAAAGTTGAAAGGGAATATTTTTAATTTTATACTTTTTATTTTTTTATTATCTGTTTATTGTCTGTTTATCTACTAATAAAATTCAAAATTTTGAAATATAATGTTAATTGAGTACTTTTTTATATTAATAATTAAGTTCAAGTTTTTATTAAAAACAGACTTTCTTTTAATTTATGGGAAATTTTAAATTTTTTAAATTTTAATTTATCAAGAATTTCCAACATAGATAATTTAATTATAATTATTTAAAATTCAGAATTCCGTAGATTATGAGGAATAAGTTCTGAAAGAATTTTCAAAGCAATTTTTTAAAATTATTTTTTCCACAATTTTTTATCTAAAAACATTATATGTATAAATTATTTTTTTATTTTTTCTGTTTTTATTAGGTTATAAATGTATTTATGTTTAAATATATATTTATATTTAACTAATTTATTTAATTCGAAAAATTTTTGTTCACTTTGTTTCAGTTAATTGAATTGCATTTCCATTTAAATTTGTTTCACCTTCCATTTTTCCAATTTCAATAATTGTGCTGATTCTTTCACGGAGTATAGCTTCTTGTATCAATTTAAAATCCAAGTTTTCATTTTCTTTCATAATTTTATTATATTCAGATAATATAATAAATTGGGAAGAATTTAATTTAAACATTGTTTTAAATATTAAAACAAAAATCTAAAAGAGTTACTTAATGTTTTTGAGGCTTACTATACATATGTACAACAAAATTAAAAATTAAAAATAAAAAAAATTAAGAGAAAGAGGGAAAGCTTCTCGCAAGATTAAAGAAACGGCTTTATTCTCCCCTTGACTTTAAATCAGGGCAATCATCATGCCAACTTGACAAATCTTCCTTCCCCTCTTTCCTCTCTCTCTCCTCTCTCCCTCTCTATATCTCCCCTCTAAATCTAAACTACCCCCTATCAATACTTTCCCGGGATTGAATAGGGCAACCTATGTAAATATTCTAAATGTATAATCTCTATTTGCCTCAATCGTCCCCTCATCTCCACTATAATTCTCCTCTCTCTCCCCCTTTTTAATCAATCCTCTTGACTTTATCTAAATTTTTTATAAGATTTAACTTTTTAATGCAAGTTTGATTAGTTTTAAAATCTAAACTAACATTACAATTTAAGAAATGTTAGTTTATACATTGATTTTAACGACAAAAACATTAAAAAGTCTAATTCAAAATTTATAAAAAAAAGTTTAAAATACAAATAAAGTTTTGATTAACAAACATAAAATAATTATTTTTTGATTTTCTGATTTTTAAAATTTCTTAGCGATATAGAAAATAAATTAAAAATCTTGTTTAGGAGTCATTTGAATTTATTTCTAATTATCTTTGAAAATATCTAGTATTCCTGATACAATCGGAAACTAATTTATGTAGATATTTTCAAAATTAGATAATACGGTTATACGGAATCCGGTGCTTAGGGATACCTCCAATTTATGAGATTGCTCATTCTTAACTACTATTTTTCTGCCAAAGAAAGGCATTTTAATAATTGAGCTCAGACTGTATATAAATCGAAACTTAATATTAGATATCTGAGAATTAGAACATCTTACTCGAGAAAGAGATAGAGAGTGGCAAAACGTTTTTATAAATAGAGAATTATAATTTATTGTAAGGATGTTAAGATTAATACATATCTTATTTTAGTTTGCCAATATTGTTCGATAATTAATGTTAGTAATTAGAAACAGGGTACACCTAAACATGCGGGGCAAAACTGAACTTATTGAAACGGGATCGAATGTTCTTCTTGTTAAATACTAAATATTTTAATTAGTTGTAAATATTATAAAATAGTTACATATAAATTAGAATATTGACTTAGGTTTTAATTAGTTTTTATTTAGAATAATAGTTTTTCTCAAAGTTTATATTCTTTTACTGGATACAAAAAATATTTTAAAGCCGAGAAAAAAAATGAATGAGTGGAGGGAGAGTGGAGGCAATAAATTGAGAAGGCAATGAAGGCTTAGGCAGTTGCGAGTCTGATCACCCGTGCGTGGGTTTGATCTTTAAAAAGTCGATAAATTTATTGGCTCGCATTAATGAGACATAAGGGGAGGATGGGGAGAGCTTTAATTACGGGAAGCTATTAATGTAGAATTGAATTCGATTTTTAATTTATTCCCTCCTTACATAGAGTTTAAAGCCAATAGCCAATTTTTTTTCTACGCTTTATGGCGGCACAATAAGTACTTGACGCTAGCCATGCATTTCAAAAGAGGAGTGAATTGTTGAGTCAACGAGTGTTTTGAATCAGGGTGTTTTGGCTATATGTAAAGGGATTTGAGGGACTTGAATCTTATAAAATTTGAATATAGCTAGATAAATATTTTAGGTGAATTTCAGAATTTTATAAATAGAATATTTGTTACGAAGTGGAATTTTAGTACATATCACTCAACATATAAATGTTTGAATTTCTAACATTGAATTTTATTCCCCGTATCTAAAAAAACTGAAAAAAAATTAAAACTGAAAAAAAAATAATCTTTTTTTAATCGAAAATATTCTTTAGAAATGTGGAGATATCTGCGACACGAAATAGAAAATTCTAAATCCTTGCATAATAATCCAAAAAAGGCAAGATATTCAAGTAAATAATAGACGGAGCTCGACAACAGATTCCAAGAAAATAATCAGACAAACAAAAAGGGGAACAGTCAAAAGTACTTATAATTTTGCCGCCCTGAATTTTTCATTTTGGCCAGCTTAAAATTTTAAGACAATTTTAAAAAGAGTTAAAAGTTTAAAAATATTTTTTTAATCCAAAATATTCTTTAGAAATGCGTAATCGGAAATTTAAATAAATGTTCTATACTTTTTAAAATTCCAATTATTTTTTAATTATGCATTTTGAATTAATTAATAATAAATCAAAGAATTATAAAAAATTATATATTTATCTACTAATTTAGTTAAATTACTAAAATTAAATTTAGAATTAAAATAAATATATTTAAAAAGAATTGAAGATATTATTTTTAAAAAATGTTATTTTTATTTATTTTTTCTTTTAGCTATTTTTTAAATCATTTTTGCATTTCACTACAAAGTTTAGTGAATTCTTCTTTTTCTTCCTCATCCAATCCTTCATTAAATTCATTTTGATCATTGTCATCTTTTTCTTAAAAAGTTTTTCATTAAATATAAATAATTATTTTTTAAATTAAGAAGAACGTTTTTTTAATTTTTTACTTGTTCTACTATAACAAATTATTCCATCTTAAGGCTCAAAAATGGAAGAAATCTGGTTTCACGGCTTCCAAAACTCTAAAACGGATACAAACATAGATAAAAGAATTTATGCGTATAAGGACATTAATTAAAATTTGTAACCGTTTTATGAAGAACGTTTAAATATAAATTTAATTAATTATTATTCACAAACCTTCCATAAAACGTCCACATATTTCTTTCTTCTTCTCAGTTAATGTATTAGAAAGCTTCATTAAACATTCAGAATCCATATACTCCCCATTTTGACTCATTTCGTCGATCCCGCTTGCAACAAAAATTTTTTCAAAGAATTGTTCAACATGCTGTTCAGCTTTAATCTGGTAATCACCTTCTTCTTCTTCTTTTTTGCATTTATTATTATCCTCTACACAGCCAATATCTTCAATTAATAATTTAATATTCTTGACTGTTTCCAAAGCATCATCCTTCTCTACATCTCTACACCACCACCATTTAATTGCACTCAAATCCAAAAACTTATAAATTTCACAGACGTTGACATTTAAACATTTTGGCTGATTATTTTGTTTTTCCTTTCCATTATTATTAATTCCAAATTGTTCAGCCCCACGCTTCACACGATTCAGTTTCACTCCAAATCGATGCTTAGTATTTCCTGTAGCAAATGGATTAGCTCCCAAAATTTTTGTGTGAATTCGAACTGATCCATCAGGGCGGAATTCATGTTTAATGCTGAAAATGGAAGGACCGGGATGAGAAATTCCTTTAAATTGTTTTTTTGGTTGCTTTAATCCTTGATGATTATTTGGATGATTCTTATTTCCAGATGGTGATGGTGGGTGTGGTGAAAGACCATTTTTTCCTTTTCGACCTAGAGGTGATGGAGGATGACGATTAATTTTATTATGTGGAGGATTTGGAGGTGTTGAAGCTGCATTTGGTGCATTTGAAATATTATGAAGTTTTGGAATATTCTTTGCTACATGGGGAACATTTGCTAATGATACTGCTGGGTTCTGTTCAGCTTGCTTTGTTTGATTCTAATTAAATATAAAAGAAATAAAGTTTAATTTTATGTTAAATATCGCTTTCTCCTCCAAATGCTTCCTATAATTTACTTAGGAGTAACTAATCCATCAAACATTACCTCAGCTTGTTTCTTTCCAGCATTTGGATTTTCCTGTCCTTTCTTTAAACCTTGAACCATTTCCTTTTCATGCAGAGGAGTATTATTTATTTGATTTGGCTTATTCTTGTTTTTTCGCTTGTTTTTGTTTCGGCGTTTTCGAGAAGGTTTATTACCGCCTTGTTTGCCATTATTATTTTTCTTATTTTTATTCTTTTTCTTTTTATTTCTCTTTTTACCTTTTCCCTTTCGAGCATTTTTACGTTTTTGTTTTTTACCTTTAGGCTTTTTACCTAATTTATTTTGTTGATTATTTCCATTTTCTTTTGGTGGCGGTAATACTGGCGTAATCTGTTTAATTTCTTGATTATTTTCAAGTTTATTTGGAATATTTTCTTTTACTTGTAATTTTTCGGAAATTTCTTTATTTTTATGATGATTTAAAGGATTTTTTATTTCATTTTGAGCATTATTTAGGGGATTTTGAATGATTTCTTTTGGTTTTTCGAAAATTTGTTTTGTCTCAGTTTTTGGAATTTCTTTAGTCTCTTTATGATTAGGGGGTGCTTTTATTTCATCTTTTACTTCATTATTTTTTATATTTTCTTTAGGGGGTTCAATTAGTTGTTTAGTTTCGACAGGGTCTTTATTCCATTTCTTAATTAAATCTTTAAATGAAAATGGATTTCCTCCATTTGTTTTTGCAGTTATTTTACGAGGTGTTTCCGATTTTTTATTTTCTAAATCTTCAATGATTGGTTCTTTTTTGTTTTGATTCTCTTCTGGTTTATTTTCAATAATTGGCTTTTCCTTTTCTATATTTTTATTTTTAATAGAATTTTCTTTTGATTGGACTTTTTCCACTGATTTTATCGTTTTTAGCATTTCCTCATTTAAAGGATTTGTGCGGGGCACTTCAATTTCCTCTTCTTTTGGATTTTTCGATTCTTGTCTGGGTTTCTCTGGGGTTTCCTCTTCCTTTTTTAAATTCAATTCTGGAACATTAACTGTTTCTTCCCTAATATCTTCACCTTTTAAATCTTTTGGAATTATGTCTTTCTTCTCAATTTCTCCACTTTTATTATCCATCATTGAATTATTTCCAGTTTCTTCCTTCTCATTTTCCATTTTTATTTCCTTACTTTTTGATTCTTTTTCTTCTTCAGAAGTTTCAGTTTCGAATTCATGAGAGAATTTTACAGTGACCTCTCTATTTTTATTTTTGATTGTAAATCTTGTACGAGTTCTATAACGTTTAGGAATTTCATTTTCCTCTTCCTTTTCAACTCCTTCCACTTCCTTCACTTTTTCCTCTTCTTTAATTTCTTTATTCAAATCTTCATTTTCCTTTTCATCCTCCTCCTCTTTTTCCTCTTCCTCTTCAATTTTGGGTAAATTCATTGGTCCTCTATATGGAACAATAGCCCGAGAATAGTCATAAAACTCTTCTTCAATTTCATTATCATTCTTTAATTCTTCATTTGTTTTATTCTTTGATGAATTCTCATTTTCTTTGTTTTCCCCAAAATAATTTTCTCTCTCTTCTAAATCCATTAATAAATCCTCTGGCATTTCAATATCCCATTCTTCTGCCTAAATTGTTTAAAAAGTTTTAGTTTAATCTAGGAAATATCCACTTTGTATTTATTATCCCTTTTATTTAATAATTTCTTACCAATTTTTTTGCTCTTTTTCCCAATTCAATTGAATAATTCAAAATACATTGAGCTTCCATTTTTTCAAATAAATCTCTTTCAACACCTTCCATTTCATTTCCATTAATAATCTCTTGTAATATTTCATCCCCAAAATGTTGGCAATGTATTGGAGGTTTAAATTCCATACCTATTTGATTTATTGCTCTTTCCCAAATTATTCCAGAAAATTCCAAAATTCTCATTATTGCCTCTTCTCTATCCTCAGCATTTTCTGGCATTTCAAGGTCCGTTTTCTAAAGTTTAAAAAGGAATTTATTAGTTTTTGTTAAGAACAATTTGGGTTCTCGCTAATCTTTACCCTTCTCAATTTTTTAGAAATATATTCAAAATTTATAGGTGAATACTCTTGATACTAAAGTTAGTATATACAAGGGAACTCTCCTTCACCTAATAATTACCTTCTTTTCATCTTTCACTTCTTTTTCTTCAACAACTTGGCATTCTTCAAGCATTTTCTCCATAATTTCTTTTCTTTTAGCAAATTGGGGCTCCTCAATGTGTTCAGAATCGAATACTTGTTTTTCAATATTTCTCAATATTTTTGCTGATTCACATAAATGTTTAGCCTCATTTTCAAATTTATTTTTTATTTGTTCAAGACAAGCAGTTATTTCCTTTTTCTTTTTTATTAATAGAGGAAGTTCATCTAAAAATGTCCGAAAATTAATCCGCAAAAGAATTATTTTTATTTTTTTAATCAACTGGAAATGTTAAAAACTTTGCCGTCCCTACAATTTCTATCAGTAAAATCTTTAATTTTCTTTTACAGAAAACCAAAATTAATTTACCATTAATTTTTTCAGTTTCTATTTTCTTTGCTTCAACCAAAATTTCATCACATTTTTGGCCATTTTTCATCTCGTTACTTACAACTGTTAACATGTTTATCTTTTTAAGTGCCTTCATTAACCATTCTAATTGTTTATCAGCAATAGATCCATTGTCCATTTCGTAATAGTCTTTTTCTTCGTTCCAATGCATATTGTGTGTATACTAATTAATTATAAAAAATATATAGAGAATATTTTGACTACTTTAACTATAATTAAAAATCAGAAAAAAACCCCAAATATAAAAATCTTTTTCATTAATTAATTTTACCAATTTTAATGCAGAACATTTTCTCTCCAAATTTTCCATATATTCTTCACCCTTTTCAAATTCATTATTTTTTAACCAAATACTTGTTTGATCACAAACTTCATTTCCTTCATTTAAAAACATTTCCGTAGCTACAGAATCACACAATCCATTTTTATCAAAAGTTTTTCTCCAATTTTTTATTGGTTGTTGTATATCACTTTTCCAGTCATATTTTTCGCGGGAACGGATTGACTCGATAAATTTTTGGCATTTTTCTAAATCCTCAATTTTTTGATTTTCTTCTTTTCTATCCTCAATTTTGTTGTTATTTAAGCTTTTTTGTTGTGTAGAAAGTAGTTGATATTCACGTAAAATTATTGCATTCCATTCTAGCCATTTACCTACTTTCTTCATTCTTTTCTCCTAAAATATTTTTTTTAATTTCAAAAAAAATTTCAAAAAAAAATTAATAATTTACCACAACAATTGAACACATAAAATCCAATCTTTTTAAGTTTACTCTCTTTTTTTGAATCATTTCTCTCCTTTTTTCTTTTGTACTTTCTTCAATTCCATTACCCAAATTTTCTAATTCGTCAAGAGAAATTTCTTTCACTTCTTGACAGATTTCCCAACTTTTTTCTGCCGAAATTGGGTCGTAATTATCATTTTCTAAAAAGTCTTCAATTGCAAGTTTGGCTGGAATTGGCTTTTTCTCTTCCCCTCCTTCCACATACAAATAACATTTACATTCATGTTTTGGGTCAAAATAGAGCTTTAAACATTAAAAATTAGTTGGAAATTTTTTATAAAACTATTTTCAATCGAATAGTGCTCAGCTAGTTACTCCAAGTAAATGGTACTAGATACATGCCAACCTTTCCATTTATTAATACCACCCTTCTCAATAGCTTAATGTGCTTTATTTTAATACCCATTAAAATAATTTATAAAAATTTACTTTTGGAAGATTAACAGCAACTTCATTCTTTTGCTGTTTTTCACTATCCTTCTTTTCATTACTTTTACCAAAAGAAAATAAGCGTCCAACTTTCGATATAAATCCTTCCTTTTTAATTTCTTCTTCCTTTTTTGGTACTTCTTTTTCAATTACTTTTTCTTCTTTTATTTCTTCCTTCTTTTCCTCTACTTTATCTAAAAATTATAAAAATAATTTGTTAATAAATTTAAAAACCTTTCCCATTTTCATCTAATTTCCATGTAACCTAAAAAAATAAATTTTATTTATTTATTTAAACAAAACTTACCGAACGCTTCCTCGTCTCTGATCTGTTCAAATCTTCTTCAGCAGTTTTCATTAAATCTTCCTAAAATTTTACAAAATTTATTTTATTTGTTATTATTAAAGAACCTCTTTAGTCTTATTCTCGAAAGTGTCAGTTTTTTCTTCTTCTGGTGATTCTTCTGAATCTTCTTGTATCTAAATATTTCGATAATTAAAAGGAAACTTTTCTTTTTATTAAATAACTAAAAACCCCTTTCTCGAATTTTTGATTTTAAATTGTTTTTTGCTTACTAGCTAAACTTTACTAGCTAAACCTAACAATTTAGTATCTCCTTATAATTTAAGTTTTTCTTTTAAAATTTATTTTTACTTAACTTTTCCTTTAATAATAATTTATTAAACAATTAATTAACCTCTTTTCCGTTTTGCAAACTTATATTTTCCTCATTTTCATCATCATCTTCATCATTACTTTCATTTAATTTCTCCAAATTCCCATTTTCTTTTGATTTCATATTATCAGTTTTCTAAATAAAAATAATTATTTATTTAATTATTTTAATTATCTAATTAATTACCGTATTTTCTCTAGTAATCCCCCAGGGGGATTATTGTTTCAACCCATTTCTAGAGTGGGGAATTAATAGAGACTGGGGAATTAATAGAGTGGGGTAGAAAGAAGGGGGATTATTTTTCAACCCATCTCTAGAGTGGGGAATTAATAGAGACTGGGGAATTAATAAAGGACTGGGGGATTATTAGAGTAAATACGGTAATCTCTCATTCAAACACCACGATCCTTTTGGAGAATTCCCAAAAATTATGTTAAATAAAAATAAAAAAATGTTTATATTTTCTTTAATCTTTTTCCTCACTCTTAATTAATTATTTAATTTATTTACTTCTAATTTCTCAATTTTCTCACAAATTTTTTCAAACTTATTTATTCTTTCCTCAACCCTTCCAACCCATTTTTCAACTAAATCTTTATCTTTTCTTTCACTATAATTTTTATATTCCTTCAAAAATTTCTTTTTATATTCTCTACTTTCTTTACAATATTTTTCTGTTTCATTCCCAATTATTATCATTAAACAAATTAAATCTTCTGTTAATTCTGAGGGCTTTGTTGTGTCATTATTTTCTTTTATATATTCAGAAATCTTTTCTGAATAATAATTTTTGGAATTTAAAGGGTTCCCATAAAAATTTTCTTGAATATATTCTATCCAATATGTTTTGCTATCATCACATGAATTTGGGGTTTTTTCTAGTGATTTTCTGCCAAACTTTAAATATTTGACTATATCTTCCAATACATGAGTTAATTTTTGGATTTTTTCTAAAAATTATTTTTTAATTAAGTTATAGTTTTGAAAAATTCTTTTTAAATTACAAATCACTTATTTCTTAAAAACCAAAAAATTATTTTCTTACGTTCATTTCCTTCAATTTTAATTAATTCAAAATCCCATTTATTCTCCTTTTCAGTATTTAAATAACACATTCCGTTTAATTCTTTATTTTCTCCTTCATTTTCGAAAATTTGTGAAAGGATGGAGGTATAGGCAAAATTAAAAAGTTTAATCTCTGAACTCAATCCTCCCAACATTTTCATTCCAAACCCAATATTTAAATCATTATTTATTTTTTCAAAAGGTGTTTCCTTCTTTTTCTTTTGATTTTCTTTACCATATTCAGACAGGATTTCATTGCAATCGCGATCAAGATGGATAGCCATGAAATTTATTATACCTTAATAAATAAATATATTTGAAGTAAATATATTTTTGCTGTGAAAATGATAATATATTTTTATTCCTAGAAGCTAAGATTTAAAACCGTCTTCAAAATTCTTAGATTTAGGACTGGTTTAATTAAGACAAGACCGACAATATGGGTAAGGATTTAAAATAGGCAAGACTTTGTCATTCATCCCTACTCGGAACGGATGAAACTGCGACCATTTTAGGATCCAAATTAATTAAAATAATTCTTAAAATAAGAAGAAATTATATTTTAACTAATTTTAAATTTCTTAATTATTAGACTTTTTATGTTTACTCATATTTTTACCGTCATAATTTCGATTGTCATGATTTTTCTTTAAAGATTGACGCATCTCTCTATTGTAATGTATTTTTCCGGCCAATCCAGAAACTTTCAACATTTTTGCCAATTCTCCCAAATACGATTGTCTAAAAATTTTTAAAAATTAATTTCGCTAAAATATATTGAATTTTCTTACTTTTCAATTAATTTTTTAGTTAATTTATTTTTTTCTTGAAAAATCTCTTCTTGTGTCTTTGGTTTTCCATCTTCACTATTTTTAAATTTGGCAAGTCTAGTTTCAAGCAAATTCTTTTGTGGAACCGTGTAATTTAAAAACACTGGACAATATTTATTTATTTCTTCTGAAAATCTTTTTGCAAGGTCCGAATCAACTTCGAAGCTAATTAATAATTTATTTAAAACTCTTTTTGCAAAATTCTCAAATTGAAGGAGAATTCTTTCATTTACATTTAGCTGAGTTCCAATTTCGTCGTCACTTTGTTGTGTTGGACACATATCAACTACTCGATCAATCATCTTTAAAAATATATATTTTAAGATTGATAGAGAAAAGATAGGATTAACTCCTGTCTTCTATCAAAACTCCTTTATAATTTAAAAGTTAAAATAATTTCTTATATACCTTTTCAAGATCAAAGTCGTTAAAGTCTACTTCATTGTCAATTACATAAACTCTTTTCGCAAGAATTTCGTAGATTTTTTTGATACCTAAATCTTTCTCTTTCTTTCCTTTCAATAATATATGTAAAATAAGCGTTGAATATGATTTTGGATTAATTTTATAATCATCACTCATTTTAGATATATCTGATTTATTTTCAGAAGCAGCAGAAGCTGAATTTTCTATTTTGCTCGATTTTGTTTCAAGTATCTCTTCCACTTCCTTTTTCCCATAATTCTTTTGAAGATTTTCATTAAATTTTTCGTAGTATTCGATTATTTTTCGAATAACAATTTTCGGTTGAGACAAGAGAATTTCATAGACGGTTCCGAATTCAGGTTGAGGATCTGAGAAAATTTTCTTTTAAAAAAGCGAGGGTTATATTAATCCTGAGAGGTAAAGATCACCTTCCCTTTATACAAATTTTCCGGGCCTCCCCATCATTTTATATGTAGGTCTACTGGCAGATAAGGTCTTTTAATTACCAAATAATTTACTTTCCAAAATTCCAAAAAGCCTTTCCCCCAAAGCCTGTTCTCTTGGGACAATCATCATTTCAAACATTTTCGCAATATTGTCATATGATTTGTGCACAAGTCCAGATAATAAGCCTGTGTTTCGTAGTGATTTGACAGAAGCATTTTCATGCCAAAATATTTTGTGGATGCATTCCTAATAAAATAGTATAAGGATGTATCCCTACTGTTATCTTATTAGGAAGTGTAACTTAAATTGTGAGCAGCTTTTATCACGTTGTGGCCAACCAAAAGTGTTTACAAAGGAAATCCAATTGTTTTTATTTTTAATACATATACATGAGACCATAACGATTTAGAATAATATTTTTAAGTAAATTCCCTGTTTCTCAAAAATCCTTTACAAAAAGTTAATTTATTTTACTTCCTCTGAATAGCCAACACGTTTGCAATAATCCTTTGTGATTTCTTCACGGCGCCATTGAGGCATTGGCACGTAAAATGCTGCCAATTGCTTCCAAGCCATTTGACGACTATCCAATTGATCCGTTTTTAGCAGATCGGAATTTAGATGATTGACGATATGATTGAGCTTTTCCCAGGCATTTGAACCAACGTAGTTTCGCGAACATTTATCGACAATTTCTTTCGATAGTCCGTTTACTGTTTAAAAAATATTTGAAATTAAATAAAAGATTTTTAAGATTACCCCCAAAATTGCAGAAAATCAAAAGGACCACGACTAATAAAAGTCGTTGAATTATCATTATTTAATTTATTTATTAATAATTTTATTCATTAAATTTCAACTAATTGATTCTTAAATTAATTTTTATAAAATTTAATAATTATTTAAAAATTATTTGAAATTAAATGGAACAATTATGTATCCGAAAATTTTGCTATTATTCTATGAGAGGAGAGAAAGGGCAGTCTTCGATATTTTTTTTTAATCTGGGACAATTCAATCAAAAACTGAATAAATTTATAAGTGTACATACATATCCCTTTGATAATTTGTAATATATAAATAAATAAAAGTTAAAATATAATTTAAAAATATTTAATAATGAATAGCTACTGTTTAATTCCTAAGGGATTTTATAATAAGAGAAATGTTTAAAAAATGACAACATTAATTCGTAAACAATTTTTTATAAATATATTAAAAAATATACATAATATGATGTAATTTAAATTTTAGAGGCAAAATTTCAAAATATAAATTTCTCAAATTTCCTTTATTTTCTCCATTTCCTCCTGTATAGTGCAACTAAATAAAAAATATAGTTTATAATTTATGTATAATTCACTATAAAGAATATAATTTGAAAAAAATCAAAGCAAAAAATCATTTCCATGTGTTGCCCTTTTACATATGTGAAAGACTAGAATCATCGGATGATATCACCTTATTTGTTAGTGATGAAAACACATTTAGTCGGATGATGTCATACATATGAGCTTTTCCCTAACTTCAAAGGAAATTTATTAAGAAATATTAAATTAAAAAATTTTTTTATAAGTCTAAATGCACTTTTAATTTATTAATTTCTTCTTAAATATTATTTTTTTAATTTTAATTTAATTTGAAAATCGTTTTAATTTAATTCTAGAATGTCTTGTTCATTATGGGACTATATCTTTACTTTATGTAAGTATTCAAAGTTAAAAATTTTAATAATATTGTTTAGTGAATATTCATTTTCTATTTCTTATCTTTCTCTCATATAAAATTCAATTCAAACTTTAATTTTTTTCAATATCAGAACCAAAAAAACAAAAATTGACTATAAGAATCGACGCTGCCCTACATAAGTGTATAAAATTTAAAATTTGAATACTTACAGAAAACGTGTTTTTAATTGTAAAGCATATAGTCATCTCCAAAGGCTATGCGAGGGCAAACTGGAATAATGTAAATATAACACATCTTCAGATGCTGGTTCGTTCCCAGCCTTTTGCATTAGCTGAAGAAGGAATATCTATAGCCCAGCTCAGTTAATCTTTTTTGGATTTTATTAAAAAATATTTTTATCTTGGCCAGAGAGTAGTCTGAATTGTGTTTGGAAAGGATCATCGCACTTAACAAAAGCTAGCACCAACACTGTTTCCCAATGTTAACTAAATGCGGGATCAATTCTTTAAAAGAACTTCTTTTCCCTTTGCACAAAATTAACAGCAGCTGACCGATAGCCTTTCCAGTACAGCGCCAGCCTCAACTCGAGACTACCCCTTCTCGGAGATAACACCCGAAAGTGTGGGCCATTTCTCAGACCTTCCCAGGAACATTTAAAAGCAATCATCTGCTTTAATGTGGCTCCTATGATCCTCATCCAGCCAAGAACTTGTCTTCAATTTTAAATTTCTCCTTTATATTTCTACCACACGTTTTTCTCTTTTATATTTGATGGGGTGTAAACAACAAAAAGAGAAAAAAGACAAAAGGGAACTTCAACAAAGTAAAAATCCGTATAATTATTTGAATACCCCAAAATTTTTGTAAATTTTAAAAAATTTGAAAAGGAAGATTGTTTTGTAAATCTCTTATTTTTCAAATTTACAAAAATATTTAATATATAAATTTTTATTAAAATTCAAAAATATTTAAAATATAATAACAAAATAATTTTTAAATAAATAATTTTAATTTATTCGTTTGTAACATTTTCTCATTTGTAGAAGATATGTTTATATAAATTAATTATTAAATGTTGTATTGTGAATCAAAACTAAAAGATTTTCCATACTTTCATCCTTCTCTAGCATCTTTAAAAATAAAATTTAAAAAAAATTTTTAAGGTGTAATTGGTTATTCTTCTCAAATAAGCGTTTGTCGTGAAAGACAAAAATAGGGAAATTTTGGAGAGAAAGAACAACATCTTTTTTAAAAATTATTTACCTTATTTAAATTAAAAGTATTTTGTGGAGAATTAGGAGAATCTGTTGATTCAAATGGATTTCTGAAAAAAATAAAAATAAATATTTTAAATTAAAATAATAACAATTTTGTATCAACAGGAAATGTTGTTGCCACATTTTTTCTTTGAAGAGAAAATTGTTTAACAAAACTTTTATTTAAATGGCAACTATAAAATGGAGGGGGTTTTTGTTGTAAACGTAATTGTGGTGATTGTTTATTTTCTGTTTGACTAATTTAAATTTTTAAAATTAATAATTTCTTTTTTTAATAAAAATTACTTTTTCTTTCCTTTTAATGCCCTTCTGTCTAAACTTGAGGATGAATAATATGAAGGTATTAAAAGTGATTGTTGTGGACTTATTTTGTTGAATCTGGGTAATGCTGAAGAGGAAATACTAGATGAATTAATTAAAGTATTTAAATGTTGTTTTGATGATGGAAATTCTTTCTGGAAAAATTTAAAGAAAAAATTTTGCCAAAAAACATTAATTATGTTGAAGAACAACCCGAAGCCGCCCCTTTTTTCGTATATGTACAGGTACATAATTATTTCTAGGGGTGGACATACTTTAGGAGTATATAGTAATAATAAATTGATAATATCCCTAAAATATTTTTGTATATAAGACACCTAGTAACAATTATTATAGCAACAATTATCACCCTTACATCGGGACACAAGTTTTTTCGCGAAATCTATCAGCACTTGAATAACTTTTTTCCAAAAAATTTCATTCTCTCCCAAAAAAAAATAAAAAAAGTTTTATTTTCCCTTTTTCCTTACATTATTTAAAATGCTTGTAGATGGCACAGAGTAACAATTACTATTAGAACAACAATTATTAGTTGGTGACAAACTTTTTTGAGTATTTTGTAATGTCGGGAAATTAGATTGTCTATAGGCACTTTTGTATGGAGCAGAAGATGTATAGCCAATATTTGCATATCTAAATAAAAATTAATTAATTTTTTGAAAACATTATTTTTAACAAACAAATGTGTTGAATTATTTGTTGTTATTTCTTCTTTCATTTCTGTTTTGATATAAAAATTGGATGTTTCTTTTAGAGTAGGAGGAGAACTTTTATTATTTTTATTGTTACTCCCAGCAGATGATCGTCTACATGGAACTTTAAAAATAAAAAATAAATTCTTTAATAATTAAAAAAACACAAAACTAGGTGGGGGAGTTATTAAATTAGTAGAAGAAGCTGATGCTAAAGAGGCACTCATACTTGCAGAAATCCCGCTACTTGAACTAATTGTCGCGGAGACAGTTCCTCCATTAATCTTTTGACCTTTAATTGAAGGGGTTGGTCCATTTAATGAAAGGGAGGAAGAATATGAAGAAGTTGAGGATGAAGAAGCGGAAGTGGAAAATGAGAGAGGCAATTTAGTAGTTGGGGAAGAGCAACAATTTTTAATTTTTTGATTTTGTTGTTTAGGGATTTGTTGAAAATTTAATAATTTTTGTTGTTCTTCTTTTCTATAAAAAATATTTTTAAAGAATACAAATTTGAGAGTCTTAAAATAAACTAATTAATCAGATGTGGGGGGAGAGGGGGGAGTATATTATGTTACATTTTTTAACTAATTGCTGATAAAGTAATATCTAATATTTTAAACTTTTTAAAATTACTTTATTAAATTATGCAGATTTTTTGCGTTTGTTGGAGTTTTTCTAGATTTTTTCGAGTCTTTTCTATTTTTCTTTTGTGGAGAAATATTTGTAGCAACTTCTGCCAAATCAAGTACAGAGCCATGGGGAGTTGAAGGACATGATTTAGTTGAATGATTGCCCCATTTAATTGTATTATAAAAATTAGGCCAATTCTCTAAATAAAAAAAACATTTTTTTAATAAAATATCCAAAAAATGTAGTAAAACTTACTTAAACTATTTAAAGAAAATCCACTTCCCGCATTTTTACTTTGTCGGCGCATTCCTTGAATTTCTTCCTGAGGGGGAGTAGACACATCTGGTTTTGAATTTGAAAGGCAAATTCTTCTATTTAAATCTGAAAGTTTAAACATAATAATTATTTGATTTTTTATAATTTTTATATTTTTAAAAATATATTCAAAAAATTAAAATAACAAGGGGAAACATTTTTAAAGTATTTGAGAAAAAATTAAAAATTCTAATATAAGTGGACAATCATTTAATTTTGTTTATCTCGTTAGATTTATGATAAAAAATAATATACAGATTCGGCTGTAACACTTAATAAAATTAAATTTATATTAACTACACCATTCTAGAAGTATTTAATAGAAAAAATATTTTAAAAGTTAAAATAATCGAATCAATTAAAAATTAATTAAATATATTTTACCCTTTTCCAATGTCCGAAGTTTTATTGTTGCCATTTGAAGGTCACGACGGCGTTTTTTTCTTAAACCCTTATTTGCACTCCAATCGGTTGCCAATCTTTCTGCTGCAGCAACAATACGTTTATTTAAAACTATTTCTGTTTCCAACCTTCCCAATTCATCTATCTATTAAATTACAAAAAAAATATTTTATTTTTTTAAAAATTATAAATACTTGATTATTATCATTTAAAAGTTTTTGTGGAAATTTAAATGCTGTTCCAACTCTTCTTTTAATAATTGGTTCAGGCTCTCCAGGTAAAAGAGTTTTGTAAATTTCTTTTGGCAATTGACCTGTTAATTCCTAAAATAATTAAATAATTTTTAATAATTTAATATAAAAAATATTATTTTAAATTAAATAATTTCTAATAAAATTTAAAGAATTTTAACAAATTTTATTAAACATACAGCTTCTTCAATGCATATTCTTTTTAATTCTTCCAGTCTTTTAATTAAAGTTTCTTCTAGTAATTCAGCTTGGATCCTTAAAGCATTACTAATTTCCAACTTTCTTTTCATTTCCTCTTTTATTTCTAAAATTAGTATATTAAAATTAAATTGTTTTTTCATGTTTAATTTCTAAATTTAATTGTTTTTCTTTCTAAAATTGTTTAATTTATTTTCAATAAAAATCTCTTTTTGATTTTTCCCTCAGCAATTATCTCAATATTTAAAGTTTCCTCCCTCAATAATGAATTTCCCTTTCCAAAAATTATAAAAAACTGACTAATTAAAAATTTTTTTTATTATTTTTTATTATACATACCTTCATTTTCAATATTTATTTCAATACGTTTATATGGCGGTGCTTCTTCTTCTTCTTCATCATTATTATTATTAGTTATTTTTTCTATCTTTTGCCTAACTCCAAAATTTTGAATTAAAGGGGATGCCATTTTCTAGTTTTTGAATTGAGGAATTTATAAATATTTTATGTCAAAAATATGGCGGCTATTAATTTTTCTGTTGTTTTTATTGTTTTATTTTATAGTGGTCATTTTATCGGCAAGGATATAAAAAGGCAAAAGAATAATAAAAAAGGGGAATGAATGAGTGGTGTCTCCGTTGTCGAACGGTCGTTGATGACTCGAGAAATTTAAAAGATGGGGAATTTTGATGGCGGAAAGACTAATGAGTAAAATATTTAAATTTGCATGAAATATATGTAAAATTAATGGGGAAATTTTTAAAATAGAGTAAATGAATGTCATTTTAAAATATTATAGAGCAATTGATAATAAAAATATGGAAGAATAACACAATGGAAAAATTTTGTTTTATTTTTATTTGTTCATATACAAAATAGTTAAAAATAAATTGAAAATAAAAATAACTAAAAATTTTTATTACTTTTTATTTAAAAAATTATGTAATGAAAAGGAGGAAAAAATAATTTAGAAAATATAAGAATTAAATTAAAAATTGAAAACCTTAATTTTTAGGAAAACTATATGGATAGTAAACTAAAATTTAAATTAGTTGCTTCTAATTTAAATTAAAATAGGTATTTAGTATATAAAAATCAGAAACAGTTATTGTTCGATATGTGTATTTATTAGTTGAGTTTCCCCCTATCTAGCTTATATTCACGGATATTAAAAAAGACTTTATTCCTTTGTAAAAAGAATTAAAAACAGCAGGAAGTAAAAATAATAAATATGTAAAAATAATAACATTTTTTTTATTTATTCCATAAAAAGCACAAACAATTAAAAAACATTCCACAGCCCGTTTATGTAAATATATACAAAATATAAATCCAAAAATATCCTCTCTAAATACCTTTGAATTAATTGCGATTAGAGCCGAAAATAGAGGAAAATGAAATTGCTGGCAATGTGGCGGAAAAGCACATCATTTCCCCTTTCAACAAAAATAGGAGCGCAACAAATTGATTTTAAAAATGTACAAAAATAAAATAAAAATATAAAATTAAAGTTGCGTATAAATTTTTTGTGGCAAAATAAAGATTAAAAGAAGATTTTAAATTTAAAATAATTAAAAGCTTTAAACAGTTGCGTCTTAATCTACCAGACATATTAATGAGTAGATTATTCATTAATCTTTCGGTAAAAACAAAAAATACTTTGGAGTAAAAAAAGAAGGTCAACCTCATAGAAAGGGCAGCAATTCAAGGCCAAAACCAGTAAAAAATAAAAAATGGGAGGAAATGAAAGAGTAAAAAATCATCAATCTCTCAACATCCGAATTTTGCGCAGCGACGCCATATTTTACCTACTATCTAATTGAAATTTTCAAAAAAACGTTAGGTGTGTTTTGCTGTTGAGGCTTTGTTGGGAAAAATAAATAAATCTTTTTTTAATTTAAAATAAATTTAGATTATGTAGATAACAGAAAATATTTGAAATATGTAAAGTTTAACCTTAAATGGACAAGAAAACAAAGGATGAGCTTAAAATTAATAGATCCAACAACGATTTAAAGTCTACAATCTCATAAAACAGGTAAAAGCTTGAAAATAAAATAAAAAATAATCATTTTGAATATTTTTTATTTATAAAGAAATGCTTCTTTATTTTATAATGAGTCAGCAAAGCTTTTGCTCTTTTAATAAAAGGTTATATAAAAGATATTTTTAACAAATGAATAATTCTTTAAATAAATTTATAGATTAATGAAAAGTCAAACAACAACAAAAAGATCTTATTTTTGTACAATTATCCTTTTTCAAATAAAAACAAATGTGAAGAGATCCCCGATATTTATTCGGAAGTGCTAATCCATTTTGTATTTCTTTACAAAATAAAAATGGATATAAAAAATATTTTTTTATTTTAAAGTCAAAGAAATAAAACTAAAAATTATCTAAAGAATTATCAAAAAGTGTTTGTTATTTTTATTTAACATTTAAATGAGGAATTATGCCAGGGATTAGGACTTCATTTAAAGACAAAGAAGGATATGAGGTTTTAAAGAAAGATATATGTACAAAACAAAGCGCAAGTCAAAAAGAATGGGAACTCTCAATGGACGTTTATGTGGAATGTGTGGTCTGTTTATATGGAGAATAAAAAGACTGGCGGCGATTTTGCTTTGTTATATTATTATTGTGTATATGAGGATTTAAGTGAAAATGAGGAAAAATTGAAGAGCAAAACAAAGAAAATAAAAATTAGAAGAAAGACCCATTGGCCTTGAGCCCCCCATCTTTTTAGTGATTTGTGTTCTTCTCTAAAATTAAAACACGGAAAAATATACACACATCATTGAACAAAATTTGGCGTTAATTTATATGAAAATATTTGTAATGTTTTAAAAATACACAGAATAAATTTAAAATTATATTGGGCACGTTTAGATATGTATACCTACTTTTATCCTTATTTGTATAAATAAATAATTAATTTACCTAAAAACTCATCTCTAGAAAATACATATGAAAGAAAATAAATATAAGAAATAAAAAATATTTGGAAACTTTAGTTTCAAAAAAATATTATTGTCAAGAATGATTGATTTACTCAACTAAATATTTGGTAGGTAAATAAATAAACCAAAAGTATATTATTATCCCTTTAATATTTGTCCTTGTGGGCAATAACCGATATTAGATATTTTTTTATTTTTAAATATACATATACAGTAATATACAATAAAAATTATTAGCGTCATTACTTTATTTATTTACCTAATTATTACTATTTATGGGAGAAAATAAAGCAAAAAATAAATTAAATAAAAAGAATTTTTATTAGAAAATAAAAAATAACTTTTAAAAACAATAAAAGTTTAAATTAATTTTCTGCAAAAATATTATTTTTTACAAAAATTTAAATTTTTTAATAAAAAGGGTGGCCAAGAAGAAAATTTTGAGGCTAAAAATAAATTGAAGGAAATGCTTAAGAGAGGGGGATAACAATAGATATTTATTTATTTTTGGGTATTCTCTTGCAGTGTCGTATTTCTAATAGCAACGTAAGTAAATAAATACATAAATAAACGTTTAAAATTTTATTTTTGTAAAAGCTTTTAAAATAAATATTTTTAATGAAATTTAAAAATTAAAAATAAATAGAATATTTTTTAATAATTGTCTTTTGGCCTGGACATCGGGAAAGTTTCGAAAATTAAGAGGGACTAGGTTCTAAGAATTTTATAAGAATAAATGGAATATAATAAATATTTTTAGATTTAGAGTGACTAATTAATTGTAAACAAATTTATCGGAATTCCAACCTTAAATGGTAGCTGATTTTTTTTAATTTTAGTCATTTCTAAATAAGGAAAAATATTTTAGGAGTAAAATGTTAAGGCGGGAATAAAATTGTTAAAAAATTATTTTACTAAAAAAGCTTTTAATATAAAATAAATGTAAATATTACTAAATTTTAAAGAGATGATGAAATAAATAATTTTTTGTATTTTGATCAAAATATTCATTGCTGCAATCGAACAGAGGCTTAAGTGAGAAAATGAGGGAAAGGAATGAATTTGAAGTGAACAGAGAGTGCTCAAGAAGAGTGGTGGTTGGACAAATAAATATGTATAAGAGGAAATTGAAAGGTGTTTGGACAGTTTTTTGTTTGGGAAAAGATTAATCCTTCCCTTTCCTTCTTTTTCTAAACAATCCCGTTCCTTTTTTACAAAAATTTATTTAAATACAAAAAATTTTCTCGGCTCCCTCAACCAAAAACTCTTAAATTTTAAGTGTAACCAAAACTCAATATATTTTTCAGTTACTCTTAATGTTCTCTTCATTTTGAAAATAAAATAAAAAAATAATTTGATAAAATATATTCTTGATTAAGGAATTATTGAAAAATAAAAATATTAAAATTATGAATTGGATGAATGTTTAAATTTTCTTCATCTTTTAAAAATTTGTTTTTCGTGCTTCACTCTCACTGTATCTTTAATATAAAAAATATTTTTACAAGTTCGATATATTTTTTTGTTTGGGCTAATTAATTAAAAAAAAGTTGGATTGTTTAATAAAATATTTAAATAATTAATGAGCGAATTAATTAAAAATAGTTGTTATGTAACATACATAAATAATAAAATATATATAAATGATTATTCATCATTCCTTAAATTTTGCAAAAATAGTAAAAAGGGAGAAGTGCTAACCATAAATACATATATGTACATATTAATCATTTCTACAAACTAACTGTCGTCTTATTTTTTCTCACTTTACACACCTCACGAGTAGATGAAGAAAAAAAAATTTATAATATTTTTATATAACATACTACCTATTTGTTTTAAATATTTATTTTCTGATTTAAGAAGGAAAGATTTAATGGAATCTACAAAAATAGAATTAATGGATTTAATTGCAGTTAATTTAAAATTTTATAGTTACAAAAAATAAGCCTCTAAAAAAGAGAAAAATTAAAAAAAAATATTCATAAAATGTTTAAATTGAAGAACTAATGTAAAGAATAAAATAAAAATATTAATTAAAATTTTAAATAAAAATTCTAAAAATATTCAACCAAATCTTCAATTCCTCTAATCTCTGATTCTAACCTATGAAAAATAAAATAGTTTGAATGGCCTCCCCAATTGAATGGTCCCTTTTTGGAGATACATATCCAAAACTATAACGGCGGCCATTCTATTAGAATAAATATGGTAAATATATTTTTCTAAAATATGGTAGTTAAAATATTTAAAGTGTTTTTGAAAAATTTTAGTACCTACATATAATGTACCACTATTTAAACGGTAAATTAATTTAATTAGTTTTTCATTCATTTGACTGTCCACGTTAGGTTTGTCTCTTTAATTTATTCAAATCTGTTTCTTTTTTAAAATAAAGTTTCATTCAGAAGGTAATGGATAACTTAGCATCAACTTCGTCTACAAAAACAGCCTTAAAAACTCCTTCAGTTGAGACAAAAACTGCGGTCCCTACTCCAATTCGGACAGTTCTTAGCGAGAATACTTCGATATTCTTCAAACAATATGGCAGTCAATTCGGAAAATTGCGTCTCTCAATGCAAAATATATCCAACAGCATTCTACACTTCAAATTCAAAAAATCTAGCGGCACTAAACTCGCGGTTCGAGAAATTTTCTTCAATTTTAAAATCTTCATTAAATTTTTAGATAGAACCACAAGCCAGCGGAATAATTGGAAAACGTTCAGAAACCCTCATAACTCTCACTTGGGCATCTCTGCACACGAAGCTGTAACTCCCGATGGCTGGCACTATGTTAAAATGATTTTATTGCTGGCGATAGATGGGAGATTTGAAGATTTGGATAATTGCTCATTGACCAGAGTTGTTGGATATCTACCGTCAAATGCAGCAAAATTTGACGAAAATGCAAAGCCTGACATTCTCGTTGTTGATGTTCCAAATAAATCAAACAGTATTCGACAACAGTTGAGTCGTCGAGAACCAAGTCCTGCTCGGAAAAAGGCAAGTACTTCAAGGCAGACAATTGTTCCTCGACAGGCTTCCCAGGCTAGGTAATTTCATTGCCCTAGGCATAAAGTTTAATTTTTCAATAATCGTATTTTAAATTTTAGCACAATAAAAAGCACCACTTCGGTTCGAACTGTTTCGTCAGAACTTCGACATCTTGAACGGACACTTTCCAAATTAGAATTACTTGAACGGCAACAATTTTCTCGTTGGCTTCTTCTCTATTTTTTGCTAATTATGTAATTAATAATTTTATATTTTAGTAATTTTTTGTTTTTTTTCTAGTTTTGCTGGGTTGTTGTTCTATATCTATCGTGTTGAAACCAGTCAATAATAGTGAGAAATTTAAAGTTTAAATTTGGAAATATATTTTATTATTTTCAGTAAGGTGGAATTAATTCATTAAAGAAATGGATGGAAAGGATGTAAAATAAATATATAAACATATATTTGTATATATACTTGTAATTAAAGAATTTGTTTAAAGTCAAACAAATAAAAATATTTTGTAAAATATACACAATTTTTATATTTTGAAAATAAATATGTACATATTTTATACACATATGACAGTTATATCCGATCTGATATATGATTTATTCAATTGTTTTCATCTTCTATCTTCATCCAAAATAAACATTTCTCTAATTAATTCATTGAGGTACAATAACATTATTTCTATTTGAAAATGCTGTATGTCTTGTCTGATTATTATTTACATTTGTTTGTATATCTGCTTTATTACATTTAAAAATCAGTCTTCTATAATTTTTAACAGTTAGTAAAGTTACCTTAAAAATTAATTATTAAAAATATTTTTAAATTAAAAAAATTACCAAAGGATTTAAAACGGTAATTAAAGCAGTCATTGGAGCTCCAAGCATCATACTAAGTTTCGAACTTATAGTTATATTAAAATGAGGTCCGATATTTACTAATATTTGAGAGAAAAATGTTAGTAAAGGTAGAAGTGCCTTAAATTATTTAAAAAAGATTTTAATTAATTTTAAATAAATTAATTGAAAATTAAATTTTTAGGGCATATCTACATAAAGGAATAGTAATTTATATATATTTTCTAGACCTTTACAAGTATTATGTATGTAGTCACGTTTAGAGGAAGGGAGAACTGCCCTTCGAGGGAGAAAATCATAGTTCGAGTTCGGATATCTTCTAAACAATCGTTGAGGTTTTGGGGTTGAGTTTGTTTTGCGGAGGATTTCCATATTCAAAAAAGGGATAGTACATACTTATACTTGGAGTTTAAAAACATTAGTTTCTTGTATCTTTTTTGTATTAGAGTAAATGGAAAAAAGTTCAATTAATCATCATTTTTCTGAATATCTATTTATGTTTAATGTAGTTTTTTATCCCGAAACTGATTAGTTTTTACCTGAGTACATAAAACAACAGTTATCTGTCTATTGACCTTCCGCATAGTTTCTAAATTAGGTCCATTATATTTTCGACGGACATACAGTTGAATTCTTATCCCACAAAAAATAATTATTGCATATATTAGAAATGTTAGAATATTTGCATACATTGTTAAACAGGATGAAATTGTATTACCCTATAAAAATTATGAAATTTATTTGACGCTAGAATGGAATTTAAGGAAATTCTTAAATCTAAACATTCTCCATTTGAATTTGTCAAGTTCCCCTCTCAATTTAAAATTAAGCCTCAAATATATCCCCACACATTTAAAGTTAACTAAATTTCAGAATTCTCAACAATCATCTCAATTAAAATAATTAAACTTCCATATAGGATTGTAATAAATTTAGGTATATACCCGAATACGTTGACCGACAACATAATTATTTATTGTATAATTATCAAGTTCTAACAATGTAGCCAATTCATAATTTGTTAAATGTTCATTTTCTGGTGTTGGTTGGTTTACTATACTTGATATAACAAAAATAACCATAAGAGGTAGTGTGGAGACAAGAAGTATAATTATGTGATGTTTCCCATTAATTTTTACTTCGCTTAAAATTAGAGATTATTTTAACTTTGGCGACAAAAAAAGGAATTTTGGGTTATAAAATGACTAACAAATTTCACTCAACATGCAAGATAAATTTTAAATCAGGATACGGGATCGCCAATTTGTAAAGTTCGGTCTATGCTTAAAATTTTTAATAAAAATATACATATAATTACCGAACAACTGTTAAATAACGAAAAACAAATTGTGAACAAACATTCATTGTCGTAAATCTGGCAATAAATACAAAAAACATAAAACAAATACTTTGCCAGGGAGTTGGCAAATAATGTGTTGGTCCATATTCCCATACTGTTCCAACACCATTATCAGAAACATAAACCTAATTATAAATATTTTTATTCTCTGGGAAAATATTTGTTAGATATGTACTATTAATGAATTTTTGATTGGAAAAGTTCTAAACATTTTTCAAAAATTTTTTTATTTGTCATTTGAGGCCTCCCTAAACTTGCCCCACAACCAGATTGAAACCCCTCTACCTTGACCTAATCGAACCCGAGCATTCGGGGCGCAATTCTAAAATAAATAAACCGGCTGAACAACAGCAAATGAAAAAATCCCAATAATATCAACAACACAAGTTTGTAAGAGTATTCTATTATAAACTCTCATTTCATTCATTGTATATCGGAGAATTAACCAAATTAAAAGAAAATTAGAAAATAATCCAATTGCTTCCAAGTAGACGATTATTGAAGAATAAACTTCTCCAATCATTTTTTAACCTTTTTCTGAATAATTGTTAATATTTAAAAATAAATTTTTTATCTCCTGAATAATAGTTTTGTGTCTAAAAACAGGGAAGCCAGTTTAATCCTTATTAGAGAACGGAACGAGATCTTGATCAAAGATCTCGGTTATCGAGATCGATAATTTTTCGAGATCTTGATCTCGATTCTCGTACGACACTCCCAGTCCGATCTCTAGTCCTTATAGCGCCGCTATCAAAAATTAAAAAACTGTTTAAGCGTCAAACTAAAAATTCAGAATTGACAAAAAATCGAATCAATTCAGGAAGATTATTTTCAGGAAGATTATTTACTATCTAAAATTTTCATGTTCTTGCAATAGTGATATTTTGTGTATAACATTTTTATTATTTATTTTTATTAATTAATTTGAAATTTTTGTCAAGTTATGTATAAAATTTAAATTTTAAATAAAATTAAATGTTTATAAATGCCAAATAGTCTAATAACTTATGGTATTAAATACAAATTAATTACTTGAATAACGTGACTAAATTGTTTATTAAAAATATTTTTTAAAAATTTAAGTTTAAATTTTAAACTTTTAGCACGTAAGTCTACACATGAAGTTTCTTGTTTACTACAATAAATATTTTAATATGTACTATAATATCTTAACATAAAATAATGAATATATTCTTTTAATTTAACACGAAATAATTATTTAGCTGGTTGAAGTTTCCATCTATCATTAGTTCTTTTTATCACGTTCCTGTGTATCAGTAATTACTGTGTATCAGTAATTACTGTGTATCAGTAATTAATTACTTACTTTTAATATATTTTTATAAATATTTAAATATTCTTTTTAATTATTCACATATTTTTTATAATTTTATTTAAAAGAAAAATTTTTTCAATTTAATTATTGATGTCATAATTAGTTTAAAATGCCAACTTTTAATTAAATTTGCCCCCAAGAGTGCAAAAGCGTGACTTTTAGACAAATCATAATTAAATTTTAATTTAAATTTTTTGAAGTAAACAGAATAATTTTGTTTGTTTTAAAGTAAACTAGCAATTTTCTTTAAAGTTTTTTAAATTAATTACCAGCTGAAAGTTTTTTCTTTGTTAATTTTTTTCCTTTAGAATATTTTTATTAGTTTAATTGAAAGTTAAAATTTATTTAAAAAATTTTTATTTAAAAAAAAAGTGGTGGTTGTTGGCATATTAGACTTTAAGTAAATAAAAGAAATATTACAGGGAATGCCATACTTAATTATAAAAATAAGATAGGTAGTCTAATGTTGTCTAAATTTGATACATACTTTAATTCTCTATCTTATCTCTACCTTAATTCTCTTTTTGAGCAAAAGAACTTTAAATTCTAAGGTTTTCAAGTTAAATAAAATAACTATTTTATACTTCTGTTCCATCTCTCGTCCAATGAATTTTCGAAGGCGTAAAAATAAAAATACTATTTTCCCCATATTAAGATATTAAAAATGATAGCAGAAATATATGGAGCTATAGCTTTTTGTATGGCAACATCTGGATTAATTTTAAATTTTCTCCTAATTTGGTTAATTCTTTGTTTTACAATGAAAGAAATGCAAATTTACAATCGAATCCTTCTACAAACCTGTATTGTCGACATTACTGCTATTAGTTTATTTGCCCTTGTTCAGCCGGTTAATATATTTTAAATTATTTTTATTAAACACGTAAATTTCTACAATTTTTGAAAATTAAAGTGAATAAAGACTGCCCATATAAATAAATCTATCTTGTGTATAAAAACATATTTTTTAATTATTCGCAAAAAATTTTTCTAAAAAATAATTAAAAAAAAGGTTTACGTTTCTGACAATGGTGTTGGCACAATTTGGGAATATGGACCAACCCATTATTTACCAAATCCTTGGCAATGCATCGTTTTTATGTTCACTGCTTTTATGTTACGTATCACAACAATGAATATTTGTTCAGTTTTTGCTTATCGTTACTTGACTTTAGTTTGGTATGTATAAAAAATATTTTGTTTTAATTTTTTTAAAATTAATTTTAAAGGGGAATAACGATTCGTTGGAAACACCATATAGCTCTATTAATTATTTTTATGTCTCCAGTTGTTGTTTTAAATGTTTGTTCTTATATAACAAACCAACCAACACCAGAAAATGAACATTTAACAAATTATGTTTTGGCTAAAACGCTTGAATTAAGTAATGATACAATGCAAACTTATGTTGTTGGAATGCGTTCTAGAGTGAGAAACTTTAAAATTCTTTTCAAAAAAATTATTCAGTTAACACCTCTATCAGGTTTTGTTTCTAATTTTGCAACAGTTTTGACCTTTTCTTCGTATTTTATTGTAATAGCTTTTGGGGTTTGTATTCAATATCATGTCTATAAAAAATGTAAAGGAGCTGCATTTGCCAAAATGCGCAATATGAATAGACAAGTTACAATGGTTTTGGTTGCTCAGGTAGAAATTAAAATGATATTAAATCATTATTTCAAGTTAAACCCCCAAACTTAAATGTTGTAATTAGCGTTTTTTAAACCTCGCTACTCAGCAAGATTTACCTAAATTCACTTAAACTTATTTACATAAAATAAATTACATAATTTAAAAAATCCTTTTTAACAGGCACTTCTTCCTCTGATAACTTTTTTCCCTCAATTAATGACAAATATGAGTGTTTTCTTTACAATGCCAGGATTGTTTACTTCAGTAGCTGGAATGTTTCTAGGCACAACTTTATCTGCTACAATTTCTGTAATGAATCCAATTGTAATAAAATTTAATCCTTTTTAACCTTCCAAAATAACAATTTAAAGGTAACAATTCTGAGTGTTAGAAATTATCGTCGTTTAATTTTTCGATGTAAAAATGGAGAAGAAAATCAAGACAAAGTTGTCCCGTTACCGCCGACAACAATGACTGTACCACATAACAGAGTTGTTATAAATGAAACCTGGGCAACAAGAAAATGAAAGAAAGAGGAATATTTCGGGAAATAAAAAGAATTTTAAATTGATTAAGAAAAAATTTGAAAATTATTTTCGATTTCTATTTCTGATATTAATATGTAGAAGATAAAAATTTTTTTACTAATTTGTAGTTTCTAACCTTATATCTTTTTATTAATACATTTATCTAATCTTTTTATTAAACTAGAAACTGGGATATATGTATATGATGAAATTTTACCAATTCTTTTTAATTAATTTAAATAAACATTTCAAAATAAAATTTAAATAAAAGTGCAAGTTTAAAAGTTATTTTCGTCGAATAAAAGGGCAAATGTAAAAATACATTTAATTGATTTAAAAAAAATAAAAATACTTTTAAAGTGCATTCTTTAATTTTGCCGAATGAGTGAGAGAATTATTGCACTTTAACATGCGCCTATCGGATTTAAGCGGTCGCTTATATTTATTGTACCTTTATTTTATTAATTTTTAATTAAGAAATAAACAATTTATTTTTCATTTCATAAGTTTTAAAAGTTTTAAAATAAATATTTACAATTATTTAAAATAAAAATATTATTTTGATAAGTTTATTTGTCTGTATGAGAGGAAGGAAACTTTCTTTACCGTCTCATGTCAGAATAAAATGCTTCTTTATCTCTTAAATTTATAAGAGGAATTAATCTGCTTTTTTAAATTTTCCTCATTTAAGAATTTTCTTTTTAGAATTTTCTCAAAAATGTATTTATTTAAAATATTTATTTCAACAATTTTATTGGCAAAATTATGCAATTGTGCCTTTCAATTATTTAATACTGACAGACAATATGAATTTCATGGATTAGTTACCCCAAATTTAAATAAAATGGGTAAACCTATAATTTGGTATATCCAAATGATATGCCGTGAAGGTTGTAATTCCCATTCAAAATATTATTCAACAATTACGCCTGATACTGTAATTGATGCTGGAAAGTTTTCTTTTAATTTGATGGCGGCAATGAAGAAACAAGGAGGTTTTGAAGAAATTAGACTTTTGGCTGTAAATATATCCTCTTTGGATGAAATTTCAAATAAATATAGGGTAAAAATAAATTTTTAATAAAAAAATTAATTAGTGATTGTGATTATGTTAGATGATTAAACATATGGAAAACAATTAATATTTTGATATATTTTCTAAAATATACTAAACCAGGGCTCTCATCGACAAAATGCCACTCAAAAGTATCAAAATCTTGATAAAAAAGTATATAGGGAGAAAATTTCCAAATTTAAAGTATACTCAAAATTAAATTGGAAAATATTTGTTCGTGCTCAAATCTTTTATATTTCTCTCTTAAATGAATCTTTTCTAATAATTTCTTGCTTCCACTGAGCATTTTGTGCATTTCAACGCATGACATGTCGAAATTCGCTGATACAAGAAATAAAGCCCTGACAGTCTTAACCTCAAGCAAATTACTTTCGTCCATTTTCAGCGCCGCAGGCGAAAATTTTTTGAAATTTTAGAAGGCCGTAGGCAAAAAAATTCACTTTTTCAGCACCGCAGTCGAAAATTTTTTGAAATTTGGAGCCCAAGAAGCCAGATTTCTTTCTTTTTCAGCGCCGCAGGCGAAAATTTTTTGAAATTTTAGAAGGCCCAAGGCTAAAAAATTCACTTTTTTGCCCAATCCCTTCCCCAATTTCATTTTCAATCCAAAATGTTGATTTTAAAGTATATACTTTCAATAAAGTATAAATTCAATTTCTTAAGTATGGAGGTCGGTTTCAAAGTATAATACTTTCAAATAAAGCACGAATGAGAGCCCTGTACTAAACATTCTTCATAATAAAATTAAAAAAAGTCCAATATAATTTTTTAATTTTCAGTCATATACATGGGAATATATAAATCCAGAATTTACCAAATTTCATCACTTCCAATTTGGCCATTTTGAAGCAAATTCAGAAACAGGATTTTATTTAGAATTTAAATTCAATGAAGGGAATAAATTACCTTTAACTATTTTAAATAGAAATTCGAGAGTTTCTTTTAATTCGAGAGTTTCTTACGTAAATTATAATGCCAGAATTAAAACAAAACAAAATGGATGGTTTAAATCGACAAAAATTTTTGGATTTAAAGAAAAATTAATAAATGCTGAAATAGAAGGAAGAAAATCTTTTAGAATTTATATTGGGGGAGATAATGCTAGAATTAATATAAATAAAGCATCTTTTTGGCCATTTTCTTCTTCAAAGGAATTAATGAATTTAGAACCAATTGATAAATATTTAAGAGAAAATTCTTTACCTACAATGGAATTAATTATTGAACAAGTAAAATTTAAATAAATATTTTTATTTTATAAATAACCACATCAAAAAATGGAAATATTTTTTGAATTTTTTACTCTCGAAAAAGATGAAATTTTGTAGATGAAATTTTTAATTTTTAAATTTCTCTTTTACTTATAGTTTCCTTCTTGTGGAATATGCGGAGAAAATAAAGAAGCGTCAGTATTCAAATTAAAAGGCTGTGAAGTAATAAATATATTAGTTTATATTTAAAAATAAATTATTAATTATTTTAGGACTATTTTCACAGAAAATGCATATTAGAATTGTAAGTAATAATTTTTAAAATTTAATTACAAAAATTTTAAAATCTTTCCTTTTTTTCAATTAATTTTCTCTATTCCGGGATCCTTTTCCAAATATAAAAATTAAACTTGTTAAGATTGAGAGCACAAACAACGCATGATATTGAATGGTCTCATCAATTTGGTTCATATATTAGCGGGCATAGATGCCCAGTCTGTGATAGCCGTATCCTTATAAATATGAAGTTAGAATTTAAGAATGAATAAAATAATTTAAAATTGAAATAAATTTGTAGGAAAAATGATGCATTATATGATACACTATCTGCAGAAATTCGAAGAAGGCAATACAGACATGAATTAAAAATGCCTATACTTCAGGTAAAAATTTTTATTTATTTAAAAATAAATTAAATAAATAAAAAGTACAGAATTTAAGAAGTGTATAATTTAAAATAAACTAACAATAAAAACATATGAGACGGTTTGAGAAATTTTTCGGGGTTACGTTCTAAACTGACAACTATACAAAATTTAATTTATAATCATAAATATAATTGGGCCAAACATAATCTTATTAATATTCTATTTTTAAACTTTTACTAAAATTATAGAACGGAGAAAATCCAGTTTATACCTACAAATTTGATCCAACAATTACCAGACAAAAAGAATATAATAAAATAGATTGTTATAATCTTCAGGGAGGGCAATTTACGAGGTTTTTTGATTTGATAAAATTTAAATTTTTTATAAAAAATTTTCAGAACAAAAATTTATTTTCTCCCTTTGGTACCTAGAAGTCAAAGGCAATACGAATTTCATTTACGCATTTCTCCAAATATTAGAACTGTTGGCCCTAAATTATTACCGATTGTTTGGATTGTTCAATTAGATTGTTTAATTGGATGTAATAAATATTTAGATACACAAATATTGCAAACACAAAACTCTTTGGAAAATGCTGGAAAAGTTGTCTTTTATTTATTAGCTTCTCCTGTAGTTAATGGAGAAGGATATGAGGCTATAACTAATTTAAAAATTAAAATTACTTCACTTGATAAATTGGCAGGAAAATATAGAGTAAATTATTATATATTTTTTTAATAAAAGAATATGTAGGTAATCTGTACAATATGGGGTCAAAATATTTTTAAAAATTCCGTTGATTTTTGGGTTTTTAGATCTCAATGAAAATAAAAAATATTTATTTATTTAGACATATACATGGGAAAATGTTCTGCCAGAATTTGGAAAAGAACATCATTTTCAATTTGGGCATTACGAACCAAATTCAGAATTAGGACTTTATTTGCAATTTAAATTTGATTTAAATTATTTTTCGCCTCTAATTTTGAATAAAAACGAGGTTGGTGCTCGCCCAATAAAATATAAAGCAAAATTAATTGCGACTGGTTGGTTTTGCAACAAATATAGTTCTAAAATTTTTGGAAATATTATTGAATTGCCTGATAGTTCATTGGAAGGAGAAACTTTTCAAATACCTTTGGGAGGTACAAATGGAATTGTTCCTTTAAAAAGGAGATCTTCCTGGCCTTTTTCTCTTTTAAATTGTATTAAAGAAGATAAAGTAAATATTATTAGATATTTACAAAATAATACTTTTCCTTCAATGGAATTAATTATTGAACAGGTAAATAAATAAATATAATTATAAAAATATACATATGTAGATGCCTGTTTGTGGTATATGTGGAGAAAAGAATTATGGAGAAGTTGTTAAATTAAGCACTTGCGAGGTTATTATATTTAAAAATGTTAAAATCCAAAATTAATTATATTATGGATCGGGTCAAAAAATTGGTTGAGTTTCGGGCCAATAAAAAATTTTTTTCGTCCTAAAATGTTGGGAACGTAACTACGTCTATTTTTTTGTTTTTAATGAAAGAAGACAGAACTATTTCGGGAGATATCTAAATTTTAACTTTAATGATAAATTAAATAAAAAAATATCCTAACAAGTAAAGTTTTTTCTCTTATTCAGCATTATTTCCACACTTATTGTATCAATAATTCGTATGTTTTAAATTGAAATTAAATTATACTTTTTATTTTTATTTATTTTAAAGTGTAAAAAAATCGGGAACAAAACAAATAAATAAAAATGAAATATCTGAAGTTGTCGATATTTATATTAGTAATGAACACAGATGTTCTTTATGTTTAAGAGGATTTGCAATTGATAAAATGTAAATTTATAAAAATATTTTTAAATATTGTTATTCTTTAAGAACACAATTAGTTAATTTTGATGACCAAAAAATTCAGTATCGACAATTTAGACATTATTTAAAAATGCCAATTTTGCAGGTTAGTTTAAATCAATTTTAATCAATCACTTTAAATCAATTTCTCTAAAAAACTTTTAGAATGGTGAAAATCCCACCTATACGTACAAGATTGGACTAGACAATAAACAAAGAAATTATAATATTGTGTCAATTTTAAATTTTGGAGATTCTGACAGGTACATATTATTTTAAAAATTAATTATAAAGTAATACTTAATTTAGTGAAAGTCCTCCAACAGTTCAAAATACAGAAATTGCTCCTTCAAAAGGGAAGAAACCTATTGAGGCTGATATTGAAGAAATTAATATCAGAAAGACTGAGCCTTTTGGTGAAGGTTCTTCTAAGAGAGCTGAAGTTTATAATGACGAAGAGATGTCATTATATCAACAATTTCTTCGTGGTCGTGTTGAAAATGAAGGTACTTCATCGAAAAATACTAGCGGCGAACTTGGATCTATTAAAAGTCCAATTTCTCCAGGAACTTTTGAAAGAGTTTTTAAAGGAGGGGGGAATGAAGCGTTTACTACTGAAAATGAAATTGAAGAGCCTGTTGAAAAGAAGAGTAAACTTCCTAGATGGATTTCTAGACTTTTTACTAAACAAGAAAAACAGGAAGAACTTTCTGAAGAGGATAAAACAAAAAATGAATTGATGGAGAATTTTCTCTCAAATATTCCTCTAGAAACTATTCAAAGCGAAGATGAACTAAGTGAAAACGAAGTTGTAGAGTTAAAAAGTGATGAACAAATGGATGATTTTATAAGAGAACAAAGTGATAGATTGAAACAAACTAGTAGATTACTTACAATACCAGAAATTACAGAGGATGAATTGTCATCCTCTCCTTTGATCAGAAAAAGGAATAAAAACGTTGAGAAAGAACAATTATCCGAATCAAGCAACAAATCTTTTAAAAGTGCAAGTGGAGGACAGCCTTCAAATAATTATATACCTCCAGATAGAAAGAGTACAACAAATTCTTCGTCGGCTTCCTTAAATTCTGGAAAGAGTACACCACCTCGATATGCTTTATCTAAAGAAGGAAGTTCGGTTCAAAGTAATTCGCCCATTGATAATGGCAGTCCTACTATATCTATTAATTCAGACAATGGATTAAGACGGAGAAATCAAAGTTCTAAAAGAAGCCCTTTGGGGGGAACAACTTCTCCGAATAATCAAATTTTACAACGTTCATCATCTAGCAAGAGTGTAAATCAACCTTCACTATCAGAACAAACACTTACACATTCATCTTCTGGCAAAGAAAGTATCGATACTTTTGTTTCAGCGCAAACATATTTTTCTTCTGAAAGAGGTGAAAATGTTTCATCTTCTCCTCTTCCTTCCGATTTACCTTCTTCTCATCATTCTGCTTCTCCTTCACCTCATCCATCTGTTTCTTCTTCTCCTCTTTATCATGGAAAAGCAATCACTTCATATGCTCAAAACTGTTCAATCTCCCCTCTTTTAATTAGAAAACCTGTAGAATTCCAGCAATCTACAGCTTTTACTCAAATATACACTCTTCCATCTCCTGCTAAAACTTCTCGATCAAAACAAAGTGATTCAACTAATTCTAGTCAAAGAATTCAATCAAAAGAAACTTTAATTAGTACCTCCTCATCTTCTCAAAAAGCACATTCAAATATTTACTTCAATACAACCGATAATTTCGAAGAAACAAAATCCTCAGATTCTTCTTCAGATTCTGACAAAAGTGTTGTAATTGAGAATAATGAAACAAATAATAACACAAAACAAATTACTAAAATATCAACGCCCTTCTATACTCCATTAAACACACCTTTAAATGATCCTTCAAATACTTCATTAAATCCTTTAAATATTCGAGAAATTCACGAAATTGGAGAAGAAGAAATTAATTACGAAAATGAAAATAATGAGAACTCTATGGGAGAAGAAACTCCATTAATTGGCGGAAATTTGGATTATGAAAATAAAGGTGATAAAAAGAAAAAACAAAAAGGCTATTCTGCGACTGAATTAAATCTGGATTTGAAATATGGCTTGCAGAAATTAAAAGATAAATTTACGAGGAAATTAAGCAAGAAATAAATAAAAATTATTTTATTTTATTAAATAAAATTCAGCTCCTTCTTAGTATTAAGATTTCCATTAATTTTTGCTCTAAACCTAGTCTGGTAATATTCAAAACTACACTCAAAAGTGGGATACTTTAGCTATAAATTAGTAAATATTCAGAAAGAAAAAAAAAAGATTGTAAATCGGGATTTTGTATCTTTAGTTTTATATATTTCTATGATAGGCAAAATTTTATTTCCTTATAGCCAATAAGATATATGTAATTTTTGGAGCTTAGGAGCTGGTATGTAATATTATTTTTATTAAATTAATCTAGTGATTTTATAATTTCATAAAATTAATCTACTGATGTAAATTATTATAGTTTTTTTTAATTTTGATTAAATTGTAATGTGACAGTAATAAATTTAAAAAATTAGCTTCATTTCCTCGATTTTTCGTGCTGAGAACGTAGTTTTTATTTTTTCAAGGTCAAAATAAATCGAAAAAATTAATGACTTTATATTTATAAATCAATGAATGAATTAACAATGAATTAAAATTTACTGAGAAAATTTAGAAAATTCTAATGAAAAATTCCAAGGTTAAACAACAATAGGAAAATTGTTAGCGCGTGTGCGTGTTTTTACGCGCTTTTAAAAAATTGTGGAAATAAAAAATTAAATTATTTATGTAGATTTATCCATAAAATATTTTTTATTGAAAGATGAGTAAAAATTGAAGGATTTCTAGAAAAATGAGAAAAATTTTTTTATTAAAATTTCATAAATTATAAAATAAAAATATTTTAATTTAAATCAGAGTTTTTTTTAAATTTTGATGTTTTAGGTTAAGAATTTTAATTATGTAAACCTTCGTTTGTAAATCCTTACTAGTCTTTAAACAATTAATATTGTATGTATAATTTAATATTTTTTAAATTAAAAGGTAAATTAATATTTGAAATTGATTTATAAAAAATTAAACATCTGCCATTAAAAATAAATAAAATTTCTTTTTTTCTCCCCGACTGGCACCAACTGCTTACCTATATTATACTCGTATTTAACCTTTCATACTTTTAACTAAAAGAATTGTTTGTTTGAAAAACAACAAAAGAAAAGAGGGAATTTTATATTTATTTATTTAAATAATGGTCATTCATTCATTCGAGCAATAATTGTTTTTGCAGCTTTTTATTTCTTAATATTTTTTGCGCAATATTTGTCAATATTATTGTACGAATTTTTAGATTTTTTAATTAAAAAGTCTCGTAGTATTTTTAATAGTATTTAACTAAATCTTTTTTTGCAATATCTAATTAATTATGATATGTATAAAACCTAAAATTCTCTTTAAATATTATTCTCAATATATCGAAAGTTTCACCTATAGAAAAGCTTAATTCTAAAAAAGAATTTTAATTCAATTTATTTTAAAATTTATACTTTTATTTTAAATTTTTCTTTAAAAGTTTAGAGAATTTTAACATAAAAATAAATATACGTCACTAATGCACTCAACAAAATGAAAGGATTTTTTAGTTTATCAGTGCCAAACATGCATCATCCAGTCAATTCCATCTCTAATTCTTCCTCACAACAATTTTTCGACTTAAAACCGATTAAAGGCCCTCGAGCTCCACATCCAGTAAATCCATTCATTTCTTTCTCTACAACAAACTCTCCTTTTACTTCAAATAACTCTCTCATCTGTCTGCCAGCCCCGTCTGGCAATAATGAAAGAGAAAGAAATGAAAATAACAAAATACAACGCCCATTTAATTCCACACATCAGCAGCTGCGGGCTGACAAACTCTCTACTAATTCTTCACTCTCTGGCCAAGTAAAGAGAAAATTAAGGGGGAAAGGCATACATATAAGGGTATAAAAAATACAAAATAACATGTAGGTTTAAGGAAAAATGAAAAGAATTGAGACAACAAAATTGTCAATTTTGTGTTAAAATTGACTAAATAAAAGTTGTTTTTTAAATTAACAATTTTTGTATATTTTTTAGCAACACAATAAAAATCCGAGGAGATATTTCCTTCAGGAATTATTCCACCAACAACAACAACAATGTACATTTAGAAATTTTTTTGATTCGGTATTTTCTTTTCTAAATCTTCATAATTATTTTTTAAAGTTAAAACAAACAACATTAATGGCTTGTTGTTTTTGTTGTTGCCCAATATTTCGTTGTGTTTTGTGGTTTTGCGTTTTTGAATTAGTTTGCACAATTTATTGTTGGTATTGTGAATTAAATAATTTATTTAGAATGCACACAAATATGTAAAAATAAATTTTAATTAATTAATAAATTAATTAATTTTAAGTGAATTAAATAATATTATTATTCTTTTAATTATTTCTGGTTGGTTAATTACTTTAATTGTTTCGTCTGTTTCTATTTGTTTAGCAAAATATAAAGACGATGCACAATGGATTTTGCCTAGATTGGTTTATTTTTTAATTTTTAAATTATTTTTATTAATTAATGAGGATAATAGGTGGAGGTGATTGATTGTCCAAATCCCTTACATTTTCTCGATTTTTGTCTTGAGGAGAAATATTCCTTTTTATAGTTTATTCAGTAGAAAAATGCCCTAAAATAATTTATGTATTAATAATTTTTGTCTTCTTAAAATTTTTATTTTGGGTAGGGTTTAATAAATATAAGTACTTCCAATTAATATATTCCCAATATATACCTACCTTATATCTACATTCTTTTGTCGAAAAAAATTTTGCCAATTATTGAGTGTCCATAATTGAGAGTATCACTTAAGGAATTTTAAAAATGTGTCATAAATATTAGGTTAAGTAAAGTTTTTGTTTGCTTGTATGTTTTCAAAATCCAAATTGTTTGCTATATTTATAACCAATTAACTACTTTAAATTAAATGATTTAAAGGTCCAACAAACAGGTCTTTTAATTTTTGGATTTTTAATTGCCCTTCTTTTGGTTATTTACTTTTCTGGAGCATCTCAAACAATAAATAATATTTTAATTTCAATTTATGAAGTAATTACTTTTGATATTTTTTAATCTTTTTTTTTAAAATTTAGAATCTTTATTCCGAAAATATTTCAATTGAAGAAAGACAAGGAATTCATGAGGATTTAAGATTTTATTTTCTTATTTTAATCCCTTTGACTTTCTTTTTTATTTGTTATATTGCTACAGCATTGTGTGCAACAAAAAAATATTATAGAGAAATGCTGTTTAGAAATCGTCCCTTTCAGGCAATTTTTAAATTAAAATATAGTAATTTAATCAAAACAGCAACGTAAATATGAGAAGGTCTTGCAGAATCATGAGATGTATTATCCCCAAAATTCTGCATTGAAATATTAATTTAAACATTCCTTTAATTTTTTAACTAGTCTGGCAAAAACAGTTTCAGTGAACAGGGTTGCCTCCTCATAGATTCTATCTAGCACCATAAATGGACTTCTTTAAAAACTTTTGCTTTTTAGCCAGTTACTCAAAATGATCCAAGTGCACCACCTCCACAACCACCAGTTAATCCTTATTTTAAAGAATAGTTTACCTAAATATAAATTTAACTAAGCCAATAAATCTCTTTTAATTTTTACATTCCTTCTTTATTTTAATTGAAAGCTTTATTTAATTTTTATATTTCTTTAAAAAAATAATTAATTTTTATTGTTTTTTGAATAAATAAATCTTATAATAAATGTTACATCTAATTTGAAGACTTGTTTTTAGATAAAAATTTTCTAATAAAAATAGTTGGTTAAATTAAGCTTGTCAAAAACAAAGGTCAAAAATTATTTTTACAATACAAGGAATACAAAAATCAAAAAATAATATGTACAAAATCCTGGAGCAGAGAAGGAAGTATACAACGAAAGAATACAAAAATCCTGGAGCAAGATAGTGTCACAAAACAAATTTTTCTGGATTAATTTTTAAATTTCATTAAATTTAAAAATTCGGAATTACATAATATAATTATTTTAAATATTATTTTATCAATTAAATCATCTAAATAAAATATTGAATCGTTTATTGAATTTCAACACGGATTTTTAGTAATTACACCAGGGCCCTATTTCAATTGTCCACAGATTCTGCGGTCTGCGTTCTGTGCACAGACCACAGAACCACAGAAATTCTGTTTCAATTATTCCACAGATTCTGCGGAAAAAGAAGTCCGCAGATTCTGTGGAAACATGCACAGAATCTGTGGAAACATCCACAGATTCTGCAAAACATCCAAAAACATGCAAAAACCACAGAATTCTATTTCAATTATTTTTCTGTGCACAGAAAAAAATCCACAGATCTGTGGCTTTTTTAGTCGATTCTGTGCATTTCTGTTTCAATTATTTCTGTGGTCTGCGGAAAATACACAGAATTCTTTAAAAAATCCACCCTAAAATTTTTTCTGCGAACTTTCTGTGGAAAAACTTTAACAATTTTTTTCTAGGCCTAGGCTTAACCAAATTTCAAAATTTTTAAAGATTATTAAAGTTTGAATCATTCTCTATTTTTTGATATAAAAATTATAATTTTATTACCTAAAATTATTGCTTAAAATTAATTTTGAAAAAGGTACATCTTTTTTACGCAGTTTTTGTTATATTCAAGCAATAAAAAAATAAAAAACGTGAGAGATTCTGAAATTTAGAGCTATGATGTTCTAATCATCATGGATATCTCTAATGAGGGGATGTTTACCAGGATCTATAGAATATATCTGTATAGCGTATACTGGGATATCTCCCATGATCTCTCATTGATATCCGTCATAATCTCTCCTCCTATTTAATGATAGATTTCCTCCTTAATCACTCCAATATATTAAACCTCAAAATCAATGGATATCCCACTTAATCACTCCTCTACGATTTTAAAGTTCCGATTTGACTATAATTTTGGATTCCAGGCATTTTCGATTTCCAGGAACCTCAATTTCTGACTAAACAATCCCCAAACATTTCCCTCCCTTGCAACAACTTCTATCGTAGTTTGAAAAAGCCACATGTCGGATCGACATCTCCTGATTTTTCCGATCCGAACCCTGCTTTAGGACATTAATTTAATTGGAGATTTAAGGATATTGGATGAACAAGAAAATTAAGCGGTATATCAGCGGTTTTAAAGTGATATCAAAGAGATTTAAAGGGATGTTATGTGATTTGGAGGGAAAATTTTTAAATCTTTACAATATTTTTCAGTTTAATTTAAGAATTTTTAAAGTTTTACTTCAAAAAATCAGGTACCATTAATACTGCGGTAGTACCGAACTGTCCAAACCATTTTTCGTTTCAATAAAACTGTTATTTTCAAAAACGCGGAAATAAAAAATTTGAATTTAGAAGAAAAAATACACAGAACCACAGAAAAATAATTGAAATACAAATTCTGTGGATCAGTGGAAAAAATCCACAGATTTTTATATTTTCCACAGAAATTTTCATCCACAGAATCTGCGGAATGTTTCCACAGAATCATTGGATGTTTCCGCAGAATCTGCGGGCACCACAGATTCTGTGCACACAGAATTTAATTGAAACAGAATTTCCACAGAATCTGTGTTCTGTGCACAGAATGCAGAATCTGTGGACAATTGAAATAGGCCCCTGGACAACGGTCATAACAAAACATAACCGTACATAAACGTTTTGCACGTAAACGAACATTTGGATCTCTAAATAAATTAAAAAAGAATATTTAATTATTTTAAACATACAAAACTTCAACTTCAGCCAATTCAGCATTGTTTTCAGTTAGAAAAGCTTCATAAAATAAAAATAATTGAATTAAAACAAAAAATTGGAAAATAATTAATTTATTCATTTTTTTAATTTTAAAAAATATTTTTGGAAACAATTTTGTTAAAGAAAAATAAATATATCTTTAAATACTCCAAAAATTAATTCACTAAAATCTTCCCTTACTAATAGTTTATTTAATTATTCATTAATTTCCTCCAAAGTACTAACAACCACTTTTATTTAAATCGTAAAAAATTCTTCAAACATTTTTAAATTAATTAATTAATTAATTAATTAGTAATTTATTATCCAATTAATTACTAATATTTTTAATTAAAAAAATAACATTTTTGTTTCTATCTAAATGAACAAACTTTAAAATAAATTAAAAAGACAAAACTTTTCGTAAAATAATGCTTTCCAAATCTGTTGGTATTTTAATTATTTTAATGTTTTTATTATTTAAAAACATATTTTCAATTCCAGGTAATTTTAAAATAAATAAATAAATTTATTTTTAAATTAAAGTTTATATCGAAACATCTAAGGAGGATTTGCATAGATTTGTCCGGACAGTAATTTGTTGCTATGGATGTTGCGATAAAGATCCGTGGCTGGAAAATAATTGAAAGGGAATTTTGGATTGAAAAGAATTAATTTTAGAAATTAATTTTAATTAAAAAAAGATTAAATTATTAATTTCATAATTAACGAGAATAAATTAAAAGTGCTTTTTTGGTTACTGTATAGAAGCAGAAATGACGTAAAAAAGCTTATTGTAGCACTTTTAAATATTTTTGTTTTACGTAATTTACAAAAATAAATTGTCTAAATTTTGTTTTTATCTTTACTTGTTTAATCTTTAATTAATTTTATATCTTTTTTATTAGTGATTACAGTAATTAATTGAAATGTCTGTTAAATGGGGAGGGGAGAGGGATATTTAAATGGAAGAAATAATTAAATAAATAAATTAAATAATTCCTAAATTTAATTAATTATTAATTTAAATCAAAATTTCTTTTGAATTAAATTCCTTTTAAATTACCTAAATTAATTAAATTTTTTAAACAAAAAATGTATTTGATTAAATTAATTTTTATTTTTGTTTTGTTTATCGTTTTTGTTGATTGTGGAATATTTCCAGCTTTACAAACAATAAATTATTTGGGTATTTTTATCAAATTCCCTTCCAAAATATTTATTTTTATTTATTTTTAGGACCCCCATTAAAAACATCCATCAACAACAACAACAGCAATCACCCCTCCTTTCCCTTCTCTTCTTTAAAAACAAAAAATAGCCCTCCAAAAATATTTTCTTTAAAAATAAATACATCAGAAACAAAAAATAAATTCAAAAATTTAAATAAATTTCCTTCAATTTTTCCAAAAAATTTTAAAAAATCAAAAATTTCTTCTTCTTGTTGGAATAATAATTACCCTACAGAAGAAGGAGAAGACTATCCCTCCCATTCATTTTTTAATAAATCTAATAAAATAGCCAAAATACTTGTTTGGGAATTTCAACTTTATAAATTAAATGAGAAATTGGAGGGAACAAATGATTGGGGACAACAATTAAATAAAGAAGAAAGAGCTAATGTTATTTTAATTTCTGAATTGTTTAGTTGGTTAACATTAAAAGAACATTTAAATGTTAATTTAAAAAAAGCTGTTGGATTATTAATTGCTTTGAGGGAAAGTGACAGAATTTTACAGAATGCCGATTTTCTTTGTAGTGTTTTTAATTATTTAAAAAGAATTGAGGGGGAAAAGGAAGAAGAAAAAGAATTACTTAATCGGTGGACTTTGGATGAATTAAAAATTAATTTTTGGAATGTTTTGGAAATTGACGAGGTTTTTATTGAAATTATGTATTTATGTAGAGATATTTAAATTGAATTTCCCGGAAATAATGTATTCTAAGTAGCTCTGATATTTATTGGAAGAAAAGCAATGTTTGAATGTTTGGACTAATTTTAATTCATCTTCCCTCACGAATTTTACTTATAGATTTCCCCTAACCTAGATTTATGTCATTCCAATTAAAATATCTGTTCAGATTTTTTAATTTAAAAATTGAAGGAAAATGAAGACATTTTGTTAAAAACTTCCAAAGTTTTAAATTTGCTCAGTTCTGGAGATGAACTTATTCAATTATTTGAAATTGCAATTTTATGTTTCCCTAATAAAGAAAATGGAAGGGAATATATAAATAAATTAATTGACCGAATAAATATTGCAAAACAATGTAAATTAAATTAATTAAAAGGAAAAAATATTTATTTTTTTTTGTAGGGACTAAAATTGTTGGAAAATTTCTTAAAAAAGTAAACAATTTTAAAGGATGGAATAATTCTGATATTCGATTGGAACAATTTAAAATAGATCCAATTTTAATTGAAAGTTGTTGTGAAGAAGAAGAAGAGAATGAAAATAAATAAATTAAAATTTTTCTTCACTATTTTTACTTTATTTTGTCTACAATAAATTAAAATTATTAAAAATTTTTTGATAACTAAGAATTAGGATTATGAAAACTTTTTTTCCAATTACGGAATATTCATATTTTGAATAAAATATTAAAATTACTTGTGGCATTATTTTAGGATTTATTTTTATGATTTCAAACTACTATTCTAATAATTTTTAAATAATTCATAATTAAAAAAAACAACACTTCTTTTTCACTTCTTTTTGGTTAGTGTCGAAAGAAGCTGATTGTGTTCTGATTTTTTTTTACAAAAATGACAGAAAACTACATGTATAATTTACTCCAAAATCATTTTAAATAAAGTTAAAAAGTGCATTCTTTAATATAAAAATTTATTTCTAAATAATTCTCAATTTAAAAAATTATTGGGAAGTCTTCGAAAATCTTTCAAAATACTTATCAAAAGTGCATATAAAGTGCATACATATAAACATTTCAATGGAAAAGTGCATCTTTATGTAATATTTTGCACTTTTTAATTATTTTAATTACTCAAGATGATGAAAGAAATATTTTTAATTAAATCATTGTCTGAATATTTAAATATATAAATAAAGTAAAAATTTAAATAAAAAATATATTTAATTATTTAATTAATTAAAATGTTATATTCTTTAATTATTGGAAGTATTATTTTAATTTTGTTTGCTTTTTGTGATTCAACAAAAATAAATCCAACACTTTTGTGTTATCGTAATTCTCCAAGTATGTTTATTTTTTAAATAAAAAACTCGGATATTAGTCTAACAAATCAGTCATTAATTTATTTTTTAAATCAAAAATTTATTTTTTATTTTTTTTCAAAAGTCATTTTTTAATTAAATTCCAAAATTAATTCTCAATTAAAAATTTATTTAAGTGGTTAGCTCTTCTTCTTTATTTTCACCAAAAAATCCAAAAATTTCTTTTACTTTGAATAAACGTTTGGAAGAATTAAATATGGCAAATAAAAATAAAAATATTTACAAAAAAGGGAAAGTTTATTCTTCCAATCCTTTTTCTAAAATAATTGAAATGACAAAAGGAAAAGAGGAAATTGAAAAGGAAATGTTACCACAGGTAGGAAGGAAGGGCTATTTGGTTTCCCCTGTTTTGAAATTTAATTTTTATATTCAATTAGGAGCAAAAGGATTTGGTTAATTCTTTGACAATTGAATTAGACAAAATATTATATAAAAATTTTGAAGAAGAAGAAGAGAATGATGAAAAGGAAGAAGAGAAAAATAATATTAAGGAAGTGAAGAATGTTGAAAATAAATTGGAAGCATCACTTCCAAAAGGGTTAAAATTAAATGATTTGGAAAATATTAAAATAATTGCTAAATTTATGAATAAATTAACTCTTTCTGAACAGCGAAGAGTTAACTTTCCCAAAGCAATAGAACTTTTAGTTGCTTTACATGAAAGTGATAGAATTATTGAAAATAAAAATAAAATATGTGATAATAAAAATTTAATTTATTTGAAAAAAGATGCAGGGCAAATAGAGGAAATTGAGGAATATTTGCGTGATATTGTTAATATTCAAAAGGCAAAATTTTTTATAAATTTAAGGAAGGTGTTATTTTATTAGCCTTCCTCATTCCCTTAGCTTCTTCTACGTCTCTTACTAAATACATAAATTTAATATACAAGGTCAAAACATTATGATAAATACAAGGGCAAACATTATGAACAACAAATTATTTTATGTATGAGGGATATTTAAACTCATTTCTAACTTTGAAATTTAAACAATTATTTTTTCTAATTAGGAAGACGGCAAGAAAGAACTTTTTGTAAATGCATTAAATTCTCTAGAAATAATTGAATCGGGATATCCAACAATTAAATTCTTTGAATTTTTGATAGCAACTTTACCTCATCTGGTTACTGATGAAAAAATAATTGTGGAAAATATGAAGGAAACGTTGGAAGATGCTAAAAAATGTAATTATTATTTTATATTTAAAAATAAAATTGGATACTAACAATTGAAAAATAATACCATTTAGGGTTTATTCGTGCTATTTTTATGTCGAAAATCCTAACTGATCCTCAAAATATTTTGAGGAAAATAGCCTAAAATTCCTAAAAGATTTCTGTTTTATAACATAAAATTGAAATATGTTGAATAAATAGAGAAAAAATATTAAAAATTTTTAAATTTGTTCACAACGAAAACTCTATTATTTATTAACTAATTTTATTTTTTTTAATTTTAAGGGATAAAGATTAGTATAGAATATATGAGTCAAAAGATGATTGAATAAATAAAGATTAAATTAAAAGGCAAAATAAAAGAATTTACGAAAGAAGTTGCTGTTTGTGAAATTAAAGTTAAAAAGTTTAAACGATAATTTTAATTTATTTCAAAAAATTTAAATATTATTAGAAAATAAATGTAAATTTAATTTATACTAATTTAATTTAGAAAGAATAAAATTTTTGTTTTTGTTGATTTTTATTATTAGGATTTAAATTTTGTAAATTAAACGAGTCAACAATTTTTTCAAAATTTAAAGTTGGGAAATTCCTTACAAAAATTGTTGTGAAGAAGAAGAAAAAGAGGAAAATATATTAATTAAATTTAAAAAATATTTTAAATAATATTTAAAATAAATTAATTAATTTGTTATCAAAAATTTATTATTTTTGGCAATTTAAATTCAAAAATATTTTCTGAAAGTAGCCTTTGTGAAGCCTTGTTGCTCTTAATCATTGAGCAATAAAGCCTTAATCAACTCCAACTCACATATTAATTAACAGAGCAATGCCCTCCTTCAATCCTTTTATTTATTTTTATTTATAATATTAAATCTAGCAAATTTAATTATTGAATCCTTAATTTAAATATTTAATTTCTAATCTACTTAAACCTATTTTTATTTAAAAATTTAATTAATCATCATTTCCGTTGTTTTAGCTATTTATCGTTTTTATATTTTCATTAAATATTTTTAACAAAAATGAAAAGCAAAATTTTTTGTTTTTTTAAATAAAATCAAATACATAGTTAAATTTAATGTTAAAAGTGTTAGAATAAATTCAGCCGCTCCTGTGATTTATTTTTTTTTTAGCAAACCATATAAAAAAAGTGAATCACCATTAATATGATAAAAATCTATCAAATTTTTCTAATTTTATATAAAACTGTTCATTTTCTATTAAAATTTTTATTTTTTTCAATTAAAAACATTTCTTTTTTAACCAACAAAAATGAATTTTAAATTATTTTCTTTAACAATTTTAAGGTTTGTTTTGAAAGTTTTTTTGATTTTCTTTAAAAATAAAATTTATATTTTTAAGTCTTCTTTTCCTCTTGTTTGATAAAGGTTCCGGAAAGATTCGTTTGCGAGCTAGTAGAGTAGAATTGGAAGAAATAAATAATGAAGAATTGCCAACATCAACGGAAATGCCAACAGATGACCAAAATAATGCCACAGACTTGCCAACAGTAACTTATGAACAACCATTGGAAACAACGACTGCCAGTAACTATATCCGTACTCGTAAAGGATTTGCGAGAGCAATAAACAGATGGGATGAATATGAAGAAGAGGAAGAGGTAAGTAATCAAAATATTATCAAATTAATTTTTGACTTAATTATCTTTTTATTTAATTGTTCCCTTACTGAAAGAATAATTAATTGAAAATAAAATTTATAAATTATTATGTATTATTCTAAGTACGAGAAGGAAGAGAATGATGGCAGTCCTTTTCTTAAGTTTTCTGAAGGAAATGATTCTGTAAAAGTTCGAGAAGCGAGAGAAGCAATTGAAATAAATGAAACAACAGAAAACCCGCAAACAATTGATCAACAATCTACTGCCAATGATTTGTCAACAACTACTGAAAATAATGAAGCTCATGAGGAGGAGGTAGAGGGAGAGAAAAAGGAGGAGGGAGAAGAGGATGAAGATGAACAGGGACAGGTAAAATAATGTTTAAAATTTTTATAAATTTTAAATAATAAAAGGGCGAAGAGAACCCAAATCCTCCGGAAAAAGAAAAAAATGAAACAAAATATGTAAGCAATTTTGATGGAGAAAAATGTTTTATAACAACATCTGATAAAGAATCAGAAATATTTGATGAAATTTATGCAGTAAAGGGTGATGTAAGTTAATTTTTTGAATATAAAGTGGAGAAAGTAAAATATTAAAATATTTATTATATGTAGGTGATTTATAATGAGAAACAATCAGAAGGAATTGGCCTTTCAACTTTGGAAAAACTTTCTAATTTTAAATGTGGAATTAAAAACTATGAGTGAATTTAAAAAAAATAATTTTTGTTTAATTTTTATTTTAGTCAATATTCTTACTGTGCCAAAGTTAAATTATTTGGTAAACTTGAATTGAAAGATATACGTGAGGGAAAACAATTGGAACCTAACCATCCAAAAAATATTACCCAATATAAAGAACATTCTTTGCAAGGTCTTTAAAAATTTTTTTAAATAATTTAAGGTCAAAAAAATATTTTCAGACACTGCCCTTGTTTTGATTGAAGGTTGTTTTTCTTGTGCAAACTCAGACAAAGGCCCAATCAACATAACATTCTGGCAGATAAACGAAGCGGTAAAAAATTTATTTTTTAAATTTCTTTTTTTTAAATGTTAGTTTATTTATTATTAGTTAGAGATGGTAGGTAGATCATCGAGAGATCTGAAGTACTAGAGAATAAATTCTATTCCAAATTAATTATTAGACAAGAGAGATAGGATAGGTCTTATGCTTTAAGTAAATATTTTTGATATTTTTAAGGAAAGTTAATACATTCTTTTATTAAATTGTAGGGACCAATAAAGGATGCATGTCCAGCAGAAGAAAAACTCATCAGGTAGAAATAATATATACATATTTTTAAATTATTTTCTATTTAAATTTAAGCCATTATATCCTTGACTATGAAAAATATAATGGTGGTTTTATTGTTGGAGGTATATTGCATGAACGGTAATTAAAAGTTTAAATTAAAAAATATTTTTGTAACAAATTGTTTTAGTCTCTGTCCAGCACGAGAAACCCTTGAGGATAAAATTGAACTTGCACCGCTTAAGTAAATTACATAAATAAATTTTTATTTTTAATTCTTTAAAAATTAAATAGGTATAAGCACAATTTCAAAATTGTTATCGAACACAGCTGCGCAGGAAATAAAGAAACGGTAATGAATTTTCTGGGTTATCTGTAATAAATGGGATACCTGTCAATTAATTGATGCCCAAAAATAAATTTAAACTCGAAAAAATATTCAAAAATTTCATTTGTTGTGAGGGCAAGACCGGAATTCTTTATGATAACCTAAGGTATTTTCTTTTCCTTTCAGCCTTAATTTTTTAAATATTCCAGTAAGGAAAACATAATTTATTTTAAAATTTCAGTATGTTTCCAAATTTGCAAAGGCTATTGATTTTGAAAATTTGAAGGAACATATTTTTGAAGTAAATTTCTTTAAATTTTAAATAATTCTTTTTAATTTAAGCTTCGCGATTTGAATATTAATTTAAATCAAAATGAGGAGAAATTTGATTGGGATTGGAATGATAAAAAGGAAGGTTTAGGCTATACTTATTTTGCTGCCAAGGAATTTAAACAATCAAATGATTCTGAAATTGCTCAAGTAATTAATAGTTTTATAAAGTTTTATGGCTCCATTTCCCGTTCTTTGATAATTTTATGTTTGGAGTGGGGATTCATTATTTGTGTATTTCCTTTCTTTGGGTTAAATCCAGATTTAAATAAAAATGAACAATAAGTAAATTAATTTTAAGGGCGAGGAAGTTATGCATTCGGAGTATATTACAGACGAGAATGAAGAAGATGACGATGAGCATAATAATGAAGAGGAAAATGATCATGATGAAGAGAAACATGGAGAAGTGATAAATGAAGAGAAGGAGGAAAACGAGAAAAAGAAAAATTATGAGGAGGAAAAAATGAAGAAATTACATGAGGAACTCGAAGTTGTTGCGGCAGAAGTAAAAGAAGAGGATAAGAATATGCCGAAGAAAGTGGAATTGGAGGCGGATGAGAAGAAAAATGAGAGTTTGGCTGATCCAGAACAATTTAAAGAGAATTTAGAAGCTTTAAATTCAACTAATGAAGAGAAGGAAACGAACGAAACGATTAATTATCAAAATGAACAAATAACTAAAGAAGAAATTAAGGGTGAAGAGAAAAATCCTGAAAAAGGTGATCAGATTACCCAAGAAGAAGAAATAAATGAAGATAATAAAGAGAAGGAAGAAGAGAAAAATGAGGAAAATAAGAAGAAAGAAGAGGACAAGGATGAAAAAGAAAAAGTTGAGGAAATAGAAAAGGTTGATGAGGTAAAGAAGGAATGAATTTATAAATGTTTAATTTCTGAAAAAATTATCTAATTGTTTTTTTTTTTGCTTTGTCCATTATTTATTTTTTATTTTCAATTAATTTTCTACTTAATAAATATTATTTAATCCTTTATATATTGTTTTATAATACCTAAACCAAATTTTTGAGAGGTTATGGACAAGAGAATTCTTTAAAATAATAAAAAAAAAGCTGGGACTTCATTTTCTTATCTAAAAATTATTGAAAAAGTAATACGCCCAATATTTCATATTTTTGGATTAAAAGATATAATAAGATTTCTAACAAGTTTATAAATTTAAAAGAAATTTAAATGTTATTATTCAAGACAAAAACACTTATGTAATCTTATTTTAATAAAAATATCGAAATTTATAAGGTGATACTTCTAAATTAAATAGAAGTTCTCTGAATTCACTGAACTTTTGTATGCACTTTTAAAAATTTTATTTTCTCTTATTCCATATAAAAAATTACAGTAAAATGACAGTAAAAAAGACTTCCGTTTTGTGATAATAAATAGTAGGACCTCGCTTGTATGGACACCCTTCGTGTATAAAAAATCCGACGTTAACGTGAGACTGTTTTACAAATGGGATGTCGTTTAAATATCTGTGGTCATAAAGCTTAAATTATTTAAAATGAATCATCATTTATATAAAAATATTTAAATAAATAAAATATTAATTCTACATTCATTTAAATATATTTAATACTTTCTAATTAAAAAACAAAATGAATAAAAAAGGTTTTATTCTGACAATTTTAAGGTTTATAAAATTAATTCTTAAAATAAATTTAAAAAAATATTTTTAAGTTTTCTTCCATTATTTTTGGTTAAAGGTTATGAAAATTTTAATATAACTATGAAAACCAAAATATTAAAATTAATTATAAGGTTTTCCTTCCTATATATTTTCTAGGGTAATTTCTCTAAAGCCCCTTATTTTAACTCTCAAATTTATTTAACTCTTTATTTCCACAATAAAAAATATTTATTTCCAAATTTCGAATATTCAAAAGCGACTGAAGAATAATGAAAAATTTGACGATTTAAAAAGGGTGAAATTTGCGTGGAAAAAAAATATATTAATCATAAAAATATATTTTATTTATTTTATTCTCCGCCCAAAAAATTCTTTTCAATTTCTTTCCAAACATTTTCTTTCTGTTGGAAACACTCCCGGCCACCAATTAGTGTTGTCTCGGGGCGTCCAATGCCAGAAGAATGAATTGCGCCATTTGTAGTAGAAATGCGGAAATGGCAGGAATGTTTGTCCACTGCTGACTCATTCTTGTTAATTGAGTTGCAACGCTGCGCATTGCTGTTTGTGTGTCCTGGTTTTGAGTGTTGCTGGGTGGATTTGTTGTCCGCTGAATTATCATGTTGCTGCTGCAAGATTGTTTGGCCGGACAATATTTGGCAAAGTGGTCTGAAGCGTGGCAAATGAAGCAACCTTGATTTAAATTTTGTCTGGGTTGCCTTCGCGCACGAATCGGACCACCAACATGTTGTCGTTGCTGTTGTTGGATAATAGCTGGATTTTGTTGTGTTGCTGTTGTTGTTTGAGGCACAAATTGGATTGGCCTAGTTGTAGTTGTTGAGGTTGATGGTAAGTGTTGGTTACGTGTTGCCCAATTGTCCATTAAATGATCGAAAATTGAATACATTTGTGATGTGTTGGTTGTATTCTCCTGTGCCTCCCCTTGAGGCACAGAAGAATTGTGTGTGCCCAAAAACGCATCACACAACTCCTCAAATGCTTCTGGGTCCTCCGTATCCAAATTGGAGTCCCCTAATGGTGTTGTTGGGGTGTTGCTGTTTGGTGCTGCCATAGCGGGAGTCCATGTCCCAACTACCAAACATAAGAAAAAAATTCCCAACAACGGACCACGAAACAATTTAGCCTTAACCTTCACTTCTACAGTGGATACCTCAGATCCGCTGCTTGAACAATGAAGATCCGAGTTGGCTTCCATAGTAACAACTAATTTTTCCTGAATAAAATCCATTTTTATATTTTTTAAACTTCCATTACTAACCTCAACTTCCATAGTTGCTCGTGCAGATGTTTGACTACCATAATTATTCTGAATATTATTATTATTATTTTCAATGTTTATATTTAATCTATCCATATCTGGGACCTCTTCCTCAATATATTCTTCTATTTCTAATCCTTCCAAAGGATAAAACTCAAGTACACCTCTCAGAGGATTTTCTAACTCTATCCCTGGTCCCATATCAATTGTTTTAGAAACTTCCTCATCATAAAAGAAATTTTGAGTATTCATCCTATTTCTTTTAACTAATTCACTCCACCATTGTGGAGGGATTTGTTCCGGATATACAGCCAAATTTTTATTATCGTCAACCAATATCCACTCGGCTAATCCAGTTATAACCCCCCTTGGGCAAGAAAATTCATTAGTAGAACAATAAATATTTCCATTATTATTTTCTACCTTTCTTGCTTCATTAGCAACTGTATTCCGATCCAAACGGCTAAAATAAAGTCTTCCATAGACATCTTCTAAATCACAATTTAAAATATTAGCAGCGAATTGAGTAAAGGGAATTGGGGCCATGAATATTTTTAAATTTAAATGATTTTTTGAAAGTGAATAAAATTTAAAATTTTTAAACCTTTTTATACAAAAATAATGCCCCCTTGACATCTCAACAAAATTTTTAAAATTTGGAGGTGTCTCTCCAAAACCTCCCGCCCCCAAATTTGTTATCAACAATAAACAGCTGGTTATGATTAATCTATACATTTTTAACATTGGGTTGACTTTTAAAAAAATTTTTAATATGAAATAAATGATAATGATGACTAAAATTCCAATTGAAATTATTTTAATATTCATCATTTCCCAAAATAATCCTTGTATGTCCAAAAGTTTAAAATTCGTCCATGAATTGTCAAAAATACCTCCCCACGCACTTTCCATTGTGTATAAACTTGGGGTTCCATTTTTAACTATAATTTTAGCTTTTTCTGGGAGAATATATTCGAGAGTTCCCTGTATTGTAAAGTTTGTTTTGCCTCCAGGGCAAAAAATTTCACAAAACTCTCTTACTTCTGTTCTATCGAAAGATAGAACTGAAACTTGTTCAGTCCCATTTATTGAACATTTACTTGTAAAAATATTGCCATTTTTACATTTTATTTCTGCTAGAGGATTTCCATAATCCGAAAAACATTTATATTTAAAAATTGCTCCAAAGCAATTATAACAACCCGATAATATAATAGGTTCAATTTTACAAATAGAAATATCTATATTTGAAGCTATTGTATAATTTTCAAATCTAACCATAATTTCTATAGGTAAGTAACTTGTTTCTGAATATATATTTCTTCCATTATTCCTTAATTTAATCCTTTTTGTATCTAAAGGCAAAGATTTTTGTTTATCTTTAAATATTTCCTCAATAATTAAATCAATACAAGCACATTTTATTTGTTCCTCTTCTTTATCTAACCAACATTCTTTACAAGAATTTATATCTAATTCACATTTTGAAAAATTTTTGGCATCAGAACATTCTAGATCTAATTTAAAATTATCGACCATTGCTACTCCATTGTTACCAATTATAAATTGATTGCTTAAAATTGGAGCCATAGGTGGGGTAATATCCAATAGCGATATTTTAATTTTATCCCATTTTATTGTCGCTCCAGGACTTAATGAAAAAGTATATTTTGATATATTTCCTTTAAATCTCATTGACATTTCTATATCAATTATATAATCCCATGTAGGGCATGAAACCAATTCAAATACCTCATTAGAAACTGGTTCGGCATATACTTTATAGAAATAACAGGCTGCTCCAGGTAATCCACATTGATATCCCCATAATGCGTGGCCTTCGACACAATATGAATTTCCTGGTTTTTTAATCCATTCATCTAACTCTTCAACATTTTCTTTCGATCTAATATGTTGGCATCTTCCAGCTTTACAGGTCCCCTGAGCTGGACACCTTTTAACAGATCCAACTTTAAGCTCATATGATCTCAATTGTCTTTGAGATTTTTGGTTACATTTTATTGAAAGACTGTTCATAATAAATTCCATTTCACCCATTATCATTCCTTTATCATTTTTTAAAGTTAAGGAAATTACCTGCCCATCAGGCAATAAAGTTAAGGTATTAGTCGTGGTAATTTTACAGGTGGTTAAATTTTTGTATCTATAACAATCTTCCGATCTCGCCTGAATTGAAATAACCTCAATATCGGCTTTTACAATTTCCATAAAAATAATAAAAATGATTATATTTAATAATCCAAGTCGGTTTAGTCTTCTATTCCTTTTTATTCTATTTATTTTCTTTAATTTATGGGACCGATCAATAAGTGTTTCAAGGTCCTTATTTTCAATTTTTCCATCTTTTTTAGAAGAAATTTTAACCATTGTTTTAATCAATCTCCAAATAATTAAACATATTTTGCCTAATATTGAAAGAATTCTACAAGCGCAAACCATTCCGCTTATTATTAGACAAAGCATAAATGCTAAGAAAATACCAACTATTGTTATAGTTTTTGTTGACTCACATTGTGGATTTACTATCCTTTCCCAAATTTCTGTAATTCTTAAACAAGGATCTACTGCCGGACAAAAAATACTTCCTCGAAATATTCGTCGACCATTTATATATTTTGCTCGACATCTATAATCTAAGGCCGTTACATCCTTTGGTAGCCCCAATTCTAAATGTTCTAATCCATTTGTTTCGATTATACAAGTACCCATACAGCAAACTTCTACTTTGTCAATTTCAGATCCGACACTTATTAATAATCCGAAATTTCTACATTTCATTCTGCACCCTCTGCAGCTTACTAGATAAGTTGGATTAGAAGATACAAAGGTCACTAATAAAAATAAATTTATAATTGTCAAGATTAATGCCGCCTTTTTTGCCCTTGTGACCATGGGATGTATATTGTTTTTATTCTTTAATTTATTTTCTTCA